TCTTTCTCTCCCCACACAAATTAAAAAGAAAAGACGAAACTTCTTCTTCGGTCGTTGCCTAAACTCTGAGAAATCTCACTGCAATGCAAAGCTGAAACATCTCTTCGTTTCCAAAGGTTAACCAAATCTCTCTCTCTCTCTGCTCTCTTCCCTTCTTCTTAACGCCGTTTTAGGTAATTCACGTTCGTGTTCGTGTGCGATGTTTTGCGAAAACGTTACTGTTAAATGCATAGAAGAATTGGAGTCATAACAATCGGATTGTCGATTCGAAAAATCACTCCTTTTTGCTACATGAAAGTACCAATCTTTCTCACGTTTTCCTCTGTGTGTGTTGATAAAGATTGAAACTTTCTGCTTGGTTTCTCTTCCAATGTTGATTACTGATTCACGACTCTTCTTGTTTCGGCTTATCCCTTAACGTGGGTCGTTGAGAAATTTCATGTTTTGATTCGATGCTCTCTGGATTGACGACCCCTTCTCGTCCCTGTTCTTGATTCTGGGTTTGCTCCATCTTCACGCTATTTGGCTATGTGGGTTTCTTGGATTTTGCGTTTGTTCTCGATCTGAAGTAGTTTTTGATGGTACCAAAACGTGTTCTTCTCAAAAGTGTCTTGCTTGCTTCTCTTTTGATTTGCTCAGAAATTGCAATTTCTCTGATCTTTGAATGTTCCTGACTTGGGTTTTGATTCTACTCTCCTCTCTTGTAATCGTCCGCTTTCAGTGGTGTTCATGCCTTTTGAGTGTTTGATTGTGTTGTGTGTTTCTGCTTCTGGTTAATTTGATGTTTTTACATTAGGCAGTGAGTGAATAAGCTTATCTCTGAGTAACAATGAATTGAGATCTCTGATTTTGTCAGTTTTGATAGCATTTTTGTTTGTTTCCGGTTTATGCAGACTGTTCTTGTGATATGGATGAAGAAAACAACCACATGGAAGAAGATTCTTGTGACATGGAAGAATCTGTATGTGGAGATCCAAAAGTTGATATTCGTGTTGGAGATGAATATCAAGCTGAGCTCCCTCCTTTAATGTCTGAATCCGAACGTGCAGCGTTTCTTGATGATTCTTCTTGTTCCTTTGTCATGGGACGACCTCTGGAAGTAATGTGGATAAACACCAAAGACCAAGAAAGGCTTGGAGGAGGAGATGATGATGTGGACATGAGCGAGTCTCTCAAGTCTCTGAAGACAAAGACAAGTCGTAATGGGAAAGGAATAGTGAGTCTTGAAGCTGTTCCTGAGAAGCAGTCAAGTTCTTGGGATGAGTTTGAAGTGGATGGGTTTGTTCTTGGGCTGTATACGTTTGGGAAAGACTTTGCTCAGATGAATAAGCTGTTGGATAGCAAAGAGACAAGAGATATACTTTCGTTTTACTACGGGAAGTTCTACAAATCAGCAAAGCACAAGATTTGGTCTAGCTTCCTCAAGAAGCGTAGCAGGAGATGTGTACAAGGCAAGAAGCTTTATTCAGGATGGAGGCTACAACAGTTGTTGACTCGTTTGATTCCAAGTGTTCCTAGTGAATCGGAGAAGAAGAAGCTTGTGGATGTGAGTCTCTCTTTTCACATTCTTCACTCTGAAAACGTCCTGAAAATGTGTTTTAAGATGTTTAGTCTTAACTTGTTTACAGGTCTCAAAGTCATTTGCTGAAGGGAATAGATCTTTGGAGGATTACATCACTGCAGTGAAGGAGCTGGTTGGTCTAAGGTCTCTTGTGGAGGCTGTAGCGATTGGTAAAGAGAAAGAAGACCTGACGGTGCTAACAACAGAGCCAGTGAATTCGAAGCAATGGTTCACTGTTTCTTCTGCGGTTCCTGCTGCTGGTTTAGGGGTCTACACTTCACTCACATGTCATGAGATCGTTGAGAAGCTGAGTGGTGGGTCTCGTCTAAGCAAAGCTCGTTGCAATGATATCTTCTGGGAGGCTGTGTGGCCTCGTTTGCTAGCTAGAGGGTGGCACTCTGAGCAGACGAAAGACAACAACAAGATCGTCTTCCTTGTCCCTGGGGTGAAGAAGTTCTCAAGAAGGAAACTTGTGAAGAAGAGTCACTACTTTGATTGTGTCAGTGACATTCTTGCAAAGGTTGTTGCTGATCCTGAGCTTCTTGAGTTTGAGACAGCTGAGAACAGACCTCCGGTGAATCAAGAGAAGCGGCGTTACCTTAAGTCTCCAGAGCCTTGTTCTACTCACATGAAGTTCACTGTTGTGGACCCTGCTGGTTTGGCTTGTGGTGGGAAGCTGTGTGAGCTTAGGGAGATGAAGTTTCCGAATCCGAATCAGGAAGCTTCTGTTGAAAGACTTGAGATGTCGCTGTTGGATGAAGAGAAGCATGCCAAGTTTGGTGATGAGTGTAAATGGAGAAAGAAGCGGATGATGAAACTTGTGGAAGATCCTGATGCTATGAGGTTTATGATTGTGGATGCAAGTTTGGAACATGGTGGGATAAAGAGAAGGAGACACTTGCCTGGTGATGAGAACCGTAGAGAAGCCATTGATGATGATGATGATGATTCACCACAGAAGAAGTATGATGAAACTGCAGAGTATACTAATGGGAATAGTTCTGGTGTAAAGGAGGAGACTTTGGAGTTTGTTCAACAAGGCCGGTCTAAGAAGCGGTCGGCTCGTAAACCGGAGTCTAGTAACCACCATCCGGTTACTTCTTCTTTCCCCTTGCCTAAACGCAGGCGGCTCAGTGTTTGTGTAAGGAAGGATATCAAACGTTCTGGGGAAAGCTCAGTGTTGAAACCACCTGCGTTGGAAGAAACTGGAAATGGGATTGAGGATGAGATTCAAGAACGGCAAGAAAGTGAACCAAATGGGTTATCTTCAAAGAAACAAGAAGTCAGTGCATCAGAAGAAGAAGAACAGCAAGGAAACGAATCAAACCGGTTGTGTTTGGACCAAAAACACTCTTCCAAGGATTTGGAAACTGCTCAACAACAAGAGGAACCGATTCAGGTTCCTGCAGTGTCAGGCTCGGAGAAGAATTCTCCTTCTCCTTCTACTACTGATCATGGAACGACTAATCAACAAGTTGCATCGTCAAAGCAAGAAGAAGAAGAAGAGCAAAACCAAGAGGCTAACAACACAGATCTTCTTCCAAGAAGACAAAGCACAAGAAAGAGGCCATTGACGACTCGTGCCCTAGAAGCTCTTGAGTCTGGTTTTCTCACAGCAAAGAGCACAAACACTACATCAAAACCAAGGAAACGAGAAAGATCTAAGAGGATCAAGCACAGAAACCGAGCTCAAGATGAGACAGAGAATGAAACCACAGCAAGTAAACCACTGGACCAGATAGAAGATTCAGAACCGAGGTTTCTTGCGAATGAAGGAACAGCGATGCAGAGTAAGGCTGTGGAGCAAACGGAGGATTCAAAGAAAGTGACAACAGGATTCCCTAGACTTCCTCCGATTGTTTTGAGACTTCCCTTTAAGCGGCGTTGAAGACTGAAGGCTAAATCATTTTTTGGGCGTTTTATCTTTAGAGCTTGGACTTTGCTGGAGAAGTGTACAGAAGAAAAAGAGCTCTTTAGTCTCTTTAGGTAGATTTTTGTTTTTGTTTTTGTTTTGTTTTTCTTTTGCCTGATACTATATGTTCATGGCTAATATCTTATTCTTTTGAAATCGTTTCTCTTCACTCCATAGTCTCCATTAACATGATCTTATGATTTCACATTTTGAATATATCTTCTAAGATAGTTAAAGAAAGATATGGTTAGGTTTAATATAAGTTGAATCACCAGTTTGATCACTTGATTGTAACAATTGTTGATTCACATAAAAACAATATATACAATATCTCTGGAGTATATAGTTAAGTCACAACAATGCATGTACAAGCTGATCTGCTCCGGCTGCTTCACTGCATTGTCCAACTTCTCAGTGACTGCTTTGGTTAAGTTTTTATCCAACTCTGTCCAAATCTTGCATTAATTACAAGAAATAATTATTCTTCTGAGATCAAACTTCTAAGAAATGTTTGTTATGGTGTTTTTGAGACTTACTTAGGATCTGAACCTTTTTGATAGCTGAGGTGGGTATATCGAGAATTCGAGATCTTGCTCTCCAATCTGATCAAAAGCCGGAAATTCAAAATATTATCAAGAAGGCATTGGATGGTTTATAATTTTCCAATAAAGAATATTGTTTTTGTACCCCTATAATCAAATTGCAAGTGTATATGCAAGAATTAGTTAATATATATTATATGTAAACTAAAATGTATCCATCTTTCATATGCTGTATGCCTGTATCTGGAATCCAAAACAAATTTTTGTTTGTCCATTATTTTTCATTTCAGATTCAGAATTTTATATGATTTTTTGTTTCTTCAATTTTGTTTTTGAGTTCTTATTATGTGAAGCCATCAATATAAAGAGCAATGATCATAAATCCAAATAATAATCTCAGTTTTTGTTTACATTTCTCTTTCAACAAATATTCATTTAAACGGAGGGAGTATAATACAACATGCATCTGGAATTTTCTATTTAAAAAGTGCTCACTGTAATTTGACTGCACATACTGTCTTAGACTTTAGGCTAAATATATACTTAATTTTTTTTTAATTCTTCTAGGATCTTTTTTATGTTTATACTATCATTTAGATAGAAACTGAATCATGATGTTAGGATTCAAGAATAAGTGAAGAGACAAATTCAGTTTTTTTTTTGAGAAATTTGGTACAAGCTTAGAACACACAAACAAATTTAAACCCTCCATTTATCATGAATATTTTTAGTTCTTGTTTTTGGACGATGGCTGTTTATCATGAATATTCAAAAGAAACATCCAAGCATGTTGTTGTTGAGAAAGGTAACAAAAGAATTTGATTTTCTGTGGATTTTGTTAAACCACAGAAAATAAAATCAAATTTTATTAAACCAAAACCAACAACCATCATGGCTATCAGGCTATGTTACGGATGGTTTTATTTGTAGTTTTCGTAAGTAATGGTTTTTTTTGGGAACTTTAGATACTTTGAGGATTACTTCTGCTTTTTAATCTTAGTTAAAAGAGAAAATATTAAAACATTTTTTTTTAAATGAAAAAGAGCAAAAGCTCACATTACCCCATCCTTTAAAATAAAGTCATAATGAATTCCCCATAATCTTTTGTCTTCCCCAAACCCAAACTTCCTCTCTCTCTCTCTCTTCCACTTCAAAGATCTAACAACTTCTCTGTGTTCTGAAATGGCAACAGAAGAAATGAAACCAGAAACTAAGAAAACAGAACAGACGCAATCCTCAGAACTCAAAGACCTTTCTCCTCCACCTCTTCCTCTTCGATACAAAGTACGTATTTTTGTTACCTTTATGCATATATACAACTATATGTACATGTTTCTACATTTTTGATAGTATCATAACTCATAAGATGAATCATCTCAACAAACCCATTCATATATTTTCCACAAGTATTTAAATTTTTATTTTTGAATCAAACTCATTTGTGTACTCGCAGACATGCAACTTGAGAGTTTCAATTCACTGTGAAGGCTGCAAGAAAAAAGTGAAAAAAATTCTTACCACCATTGAAGGTACACACAAATACATAAACTCTTTCAACTTTTTTTTTTTTGGGTTTCAAATTTTTATATAAATGGTTTTACTTCATTTTTTAATTTATTTTATGGTTAGTGTATGTACATCAATTTCACGTTTGAAATTATTACTTATAATTTTCTCTAAAATAACGTATTTATAATTGGGAAAATTTAGTTTATTTTCACATGACTAATTTTGGTTGCGTGAGTAGCTAAATTTGGTAATTATGGTTAATTTAATATTTAACGAGTAATTTTGTTTGTAGGTGTTTATAGAGTGGACATTGATGTGAAGCAGAATAAGGTAACGGTGATGGGAATCGCCGCACCGGAGATTCTGTTAAGGAAGCTTCTCAAGGCTGGTAAAAACGCCGATTTGTTGCCGGAGATACTCGACCCGGTAGTGAACAAACCCGTTGACCCGAAAGAGAACAAATCCGTAGGCGTAGACCCGAAAGAGAAGAAAAAGAAGAAGAAAGAAGAAAAACCGGAAATAACCGATGCAGCTACCTCTTCCGATTCTGGTAAACCGGAATCTGAAAAATCAGACACCGCCGGAGAGTGTGGTTCCGGCGACGGTGGTAAAACTTCTGATCCGGTGAAAGAAGAGAAAGAAGACGTTATCAAGAAGAAAGATTCTGTTCCGGTAGATTCTCCATCACCTTTACCGGCTGAAACTACGACACCGGCAACGGCGGCGGCGGCGGCGGGAGAGAAGAAAGCTGAAGAGAGCAGTGGCAATATTGGTAAAAAGAAGAAAAAGAAGGGGCAAAAAGTGAACACTATTGCTAACAATCCTAACGGTGGACCTGTCCGTAGTCAATCACTTCCTCCACCCATTACTACTCCTGAAGCAGATCACGACCGTCCATTCAGTCAAAACGATGGTCAGCATCAAATTCTAACCAACAACAATCCGCCACGTCACGATGCGTATCCTTATCCGCCACCAAACTATTATGCGCCGCAAGTGATGTACGGCGTAAGTTATAACGTTGCGCAACCTCCTTTGAGCGTAGACGCTGCGTCGTATTATACGCCTCCGCCACCGTATTCGTACGCGTATATGCACCCAGGATATCTACCGTCCGATCAAAACCCTTATCCATCTCGACCGTCCGATTCGTTTGAGTTATTTAGCGATGAGAATCCAAACGGTTGTTCAGTAATGTGATCGGAACAATTACCAAAATGTCCTTAGAACTTTCACTTACACGTGGAAGTTTAGCTTATGGTTTTAGGTTGTAATATTTTTATATAACTTATGATTATGTCAGATAAAGTTTTAATCTTTTGTTTCTTTCTTTTGTAGCTTTTTTTTTTAATTTAATGATTTAGATACTTTTAAGAAATTTTTGCTCTATTTTCTTAATTATTTATGTGCTTTAAGCCTTTAATGTTTTTGTTTTTGCTCTTTTGTTATGGTCTGGATTTTAATTTTACTACTTGAAGTTTCCTTAAAAAAAAAGAAAATAAAATTAGTATGTGGTTTAGCTACATTGTTGAAGTGGAAAAGATACATGAAAGCAAGAAACGTGGAAGATGCATTTGATGCAATGCTTAGTTGTAAGGGGAAACTATGATGTGTAAAGTGTCGAAGCTGATTGAGCAATTTTATTTAATTTTTTTTTTCCCACGTCTTTATTTCTTCTCTTCATAGTTCATAGTTACGTAGCTTAAATATTAGTAGTATTTTTTCTGTTCATGTTTCATTTAGCAATGTAACACTTCCAATATTCTAGACAATCAACATAAACAAATGTTAAGTGATACCTAATGTTTGCCATGCAAGTTTATTATTTCTTTTTTGGCTAATTAATAATCACTAGTTCACATGCAACCAATACCGACACACTCCATTTAGCTTAATTCGATTTTAAATTGTAAATGCTTTGCGGGAACAATCTTAAAACATTTCAAAACATTTGGTATATTTAGTTTTACAGCACATATTCACAAATTTATTAGACAGTAATACGAGTTGTACCATGGTGATTGTCAATTGGGCATGGGGACATTAAGTGATTTTGACCTTTCAAATCCAAATTTCATTGTCACATTCATTGTCCGAATTCCGAAATTAAGACGCATTAAATAGTGTGATAAGGAAAACCAAATATTAAAGGCTCATGTCCTTCTTGCTTTTCCTTATACCAAGAAGTTAATTATGACTTATGAGCTTCGATAAATGTAAAATTACCTTTTTAAAAAATATGAAAGCTGAAAAAGTGCAATGCTCGAGAATTGTAGGGAGGTCATCTACAAATTACATATTCACTTCTCATGTGTCTACTATCAATGACGTCAGAAATATGTTACGTAAAAACAGAACTCAAAAGCTTTTTGAAATCTGTAATTCTGTCCTTTTCATTTGAGACATGCTTACATTTTACTATATGTTACAGAATTTAAGAGCCCTGAATAGTCACGACTCACGACCTCTTTTACTAGACTCCGACCAAACATAGAATATTATATTTTGTTGATTAACACAGTTCATATACATACAACTCGATAAAAACAAATGAACAAAGACAAGAGAAAGAAATCACATAAAACATAGTATTAAGTTATCTAGATTTAAAGTTTTACATATAACTCTTTACAAAACAAATATACAGATACAAAGGAGAAGCAAACGAAAAAATTTACAAAAACATAAAAACAAACTACAAATTTACATAAATCCATCTTTGTAATATTCTAGGTTACAATCTTCTCGATCGCATATATTTTTAGATTATAGTAATGTGATTTTAACTTGAGAAAGTGATCCACGGGCTTGGGAATGAGAATGAGACTGGGCCTTTCGTATAGACATAATTAGAATAACATAAAATCTAACGAAAATCTGATAGCTCTAATTAATAATTCAAATAAATCCAATAAATTGGTCTTTCCATGAAATTTGTGTCCTCCGTCCGATGCAATCAAATTTGATATTCACGCCGAAGTTTACAAAAATCCGTTGTCGTCCAGCGGTTAGGATATCTGGCTTTCACCCAGGAGACGGGTTCGATTCCCGGCAACGGAGCTTTTTGGCCTACATTTTCCATTTTCTAATGCTTCTCCTCAGCATCGTATGCATTTGAAGTTTTTTCTTTTTTGTATGCATTTGAAGGTTTGGAGTTCTTTTTCTGTTTTAAGTTTTGGGTGCTTTCTTCAAAATCTGTTCAAAAAATCGGCCGATGTGCCGATTAATCGGTAGAAAAATCTCTCATCGGTATGCTACCATGGCGATAAGTATTAATCCTTTGTAATGTATAGTCAACTTGCGTTGACTGAGTAAAGTCGATTTTTTTTAAAAAAAAAATGTAATATTATAAATTGTTTGGGCCATAATGCAAATTCTTTTCATAATTTTGGCCTATTTGAGATAACTTCATCATGTTTATTTTGGAAATTGTAACACATATCTAATTTTTAAGAGAAATTGATAGAGAAGCCTACTTAGAAAAAATTGTTTGAACCAGAACTACAAATATTTTTCATGATTTCAGCCTATTTGGAAAAAACAGTATCTAATTTTTTGAAATTTATTACTTATATAGTTATATATATATGAAAATATTTCTAAAATATACAACATGTGGTAAAATTTCTTCCCCGATTAATTCCCGATTAATCTCCATTTTATCAATAATCGTTAATCTTGGCTCGACCGCCTGATGAACGATTAAAAATATTTTGAACACAACTTCAAATCAATGAAACATTATAAAATTTCAAATTAAGATTTGTTCTTTTTTTTCTTTTTTTTTTCTTTTCTGTTTTCAGGTTTGGCCTCTCTTAAAGGAAAAATAAAAACAGTAAAAGGTCAACATTCCACAGTTAATTGTATCCTTAGTGGTTGGCCCTACTTGAGTCACTGGTGAGGCTAGTGATAGCCAAGGATCAAGCCATAAGTTAATTGTTCTGCCATGTTACGTTCCATGCATGCTAAAAAACTCTTTGGCTATTATCTAACTTAAAATTTGTTATTATATCCAAATATATGATACTTATACAATATAATGATGACAACAAGTTAAAAGAAAGACAGATTTTTGATTATTTTGTGATCAGTATAATTTTTTTTTTAAATAAAAACTTGAGTAAAATATGTTATTTATTAAGAAAATTATCATATATTTTAATTTTTTTTTGATGAAAGAAGATAATATAAAAGAAAAATTGAATAGCTAAATAGAAAATTGGTAGAATAAAAAACGAAAGTAAATAGTAAATAAAAATGATTTAAATATGTGGAAAAGAGACTTGAAAATGATGTGGTCATTTTATCCTATTCCTATAACTGATGTTGTAGGCCAAAGCTTCTTTTTTTTTGTTCATTAGGCACGGCTCTGATCAGCCGTACTCTTCACAAAACGAAGGTTGCATGTTCTTCTACCGTTAATTAATTGTTTGGATACGTTAAAGTATCAATGTAAAATGTCATTTAAAAAAAAATGTAGTAAGGGGATATGTCGCTGTTCCAAATGTGAATGTGCTCACCGGCGCCGTTGCAATTTTCTCGCATGCAATGTGTCGAACGGTGCTAATTCCGATTGCTGCAAAGACGAGCTTGATATATATATATATATTCCTAAACATTATATATCAAGAAAATCAGAAGGGATCAACAAATTGTGATACAAATCTATCTAATTTATATATGCGGTCGAATCCGGTTTATACATTTAGTTTGGGCCGGATAAATACAAAGTTAACAACTATGATGAAATCAAATGAAGTAACATAAATCTTCAGAGAATAATTTTAAAAGTATGTATTAAAAAAATAGAATGATTTTTTTTTTCATTTTCTTATGTTTTGCTTATAATTTACTTATGTGTTGCTTATCTTATGCTTATTTTTGTTAATATATTTGTTGTCTTGTTAAATTACCTTTTCTAATAGTAATAATGTATGATATAATTTTCATTAAGAAAATGTAAATTAATTCATTGATAAAATTCATTTGTTTTATGAAAATATTTGATGTAGTGATATTATAATTATATAAAACTGAAGATATTTGACATTTCATTTTCATACTACGTACTTGATATCAAATATTATAAGTTAGAAAAAAATCAACAATATACTATAATAAAAGACGAAAACATAGTAAAGCGATAAAAGGGGAGTTTTGTTTAATATAATTTATAAGTGGTGAATACACATATTACAGACACATACATTTTTTTTTTTGAAACAACAGACATATACAACATTAAAGAAAGAAGACACTTGTTACCATTTAAAAAAAAAAACATCACAAAAAAAAATAAAACATTTTACCAAACCTTCTTAACTCTCTTTTTCCCATTGATATAACTCAAACATTTGTAAATCTTTGTTTCCATCTACCCTTATTCTCTTGAAATAATTTGCTCATAATTAAACACCTAAAACATAACACAAAACCAAAATTAAAAAAAAAAAAAAAATCACATCAGCGAATTAGTAAAGAAATATAAAAATTAGATGGAGATCTAAATATTTGTTTTGATATCTAGTGTATGTCATAGTGATATCTAGTGGATCTTCAGTTGCGTTATCATAACTAAGCTGAGAAACACTTATTGGGTAGCTCTTACTCGATTGTCCAATTTTCTGGCATTAGTTAATGTCGGAGTCCATAGATTCAATGATGTTGAACCTATAAATAGAATTATAATGCAAAATATTTCATAAGGAAGTTTAAGTGATAAAAGCAAAGATAATTTTCCATTTCAAATGGCGATAGTTGCGGTTAGTGCGATTGAAAAGGCGATTTTGCGGTTTCTCACCATTTTGGTGACGGTTTTTGATTTTCCCGTCGGAGAAGTGGGAGATTTGGAGGTTTCGCTCCACTACTCGACAGTTTTACCCATGTTGGGCTCCTCTAACCATCGTGAAGCAGTTTCTCTGAGGAATTTCTGAGAGTTAGATCTATATAAATGGTGTATCGAAGATGAAGATATTCATTCGCTTTCAAGCACAAATCTCCCCACTCTCAAATTTCCTACTTGGTACTACGATTGTTTCTTCAGAATGGCTGATAATCTCCGCCGCCAGATCCAAGATCTCGATTTGGGTGCCCTCAATGACCCAATCCTCCTTTCTGTCGATGTAGTTGAGCAAGCGGCTGCGGAGAATCAATTCATTTTAATCGGTCGTCCAACAATGCCATGCCGCCAAAATTTGCGATCCATCATCGCTGTCCTTCCCTGGATCTGGAATCAACCGAATGTTCATGGCCGTATCATTGACGGAGGCCGATTTCAATTCATTTTCCCCTCGGAGGAATCCATGGAGACGGTCTTGCGTAGAGACCATGGGCTTTCGCCGAGCGCATGGTGGTACTTCAGCGATGGACTCCGTATCTGATGCCGACAATGTTGAATTTTATCCCATTTTGGATCCAAATTCGGGGAATCCCTCTCCAATTTGTGAACCAGGATGTGATTGCTCACATTGGTCGTGCAATGGGTCTCCTCATGGACGTTGACTACAACGCCGAAGCAATTGCCTGTGTGGAGTATGCTCGTGTGAGATTGAATATGGACATCACGCAACCCCTGCGTTTCCAGAAGCACTTTCAATTCACACAAGGTATCAACACACTCCTGCGTTTCCGTTATGAGCGATTGTGGGGCTTTTGTGAGGTGTGTGGCATCATCACACATGACTCCGGTGCTTGTTTGATTCAAAATGGTGGCCCTGAACCACATTCTGAGGATGATGAAGATGACGATAATGATGATGGAGAGGATCAAGCCAATTTGGATCCAGCCAATGGAGCTATTAACGGTGGGAATCATCAGCGGAATGGACGTATGGAGAATAAGGACGACCAAGAACCTCCGGCTGGAGTGCGTATTGAAGAAGTGGTGGAGGAAGGTGAATTGATTGCTGATGCAGCGGTGAGTGATGAAGAACCCGACCCGACTCCGGAGAGGTATCTCTATGTCCCTGATGAAATAGCAGAGTGCGAAGTTAAGGAAGCAGAACTTAGGAACGCGGTGACTCCGACTCAAGAGAGCCTAAAGAGAAAGTTTGAAGATAGTTCGTCTGCAGAGGAAGGTTATCAGAGATTGGAGAGAGGTCAGAGTAGTGGAGGTAACAAGAAGAAGGCTATGGACGTTGGTCAGGTGTGTGGCGTGGTGGGCCCTCAACCACCACAGCCGCCATGAGGACAGCCTGCTGGAACTGCCGAGGTTTGGGCAATGACTCGGCGGTTCGACGCCTTAAAGAGATACATCAAAAATATCTCTTGGACATCATTTGTCTGTCGGAAACAAAGCAGCCGGACGACTATATCAGGGATGTGGGTTGTCAATTAGGATTTCCAAATTATGTTTCAGTTCCTCCGATAGGTCTTAGTGGAGGTTTAGTTATCTTTTGGAAGAATTTGGTCAATCTCTCAATTTCTTATGTATCTCCTAATCTTGTAGATTGTTATGTTGAATGCAATGGTTTCAGTTTTTATTTGTCTTTCGTATATGGTCATCCTGAAAACAGTTTGCGTAACAATCTATGGGAAAGATTAGAGAGATACAGTACCACACGGAGGGAACCTTGGTTTATTCTTGGAGATTTTAATGAGATTTTGGGGAATGAAGAGAAATCGGGTGGAAGAGTCAGGTCTGAAGCTTCTTTTCGGGATTTTAGAAGAATGGTGAGGACTTGTGCGTTTACGGATTTGAAGTCAATTGGAAACATATTTTCTTGGGCAGGACAAAGGGGAACACATTATGTCTCATGCTGTCTTGATCGCACTAAGGCAAATACTGAATGGCACCATCAATTTCCTTGTTCGGAAACTCACATCTTGGAACTTGGAGAATCTGACCACAGACCGTTAGTGACATATATTCAAGCTACAATGGAAACAAGGAACATATCGTTTATGTATGATGCTCGCTTACATAATAAAGATGGTTTCTAGTAAGCTGTTTTAAAAGGTTGGGGAAATGAAGAGAGGGACTCAGGTATGGCGGTAAACCTTGCTACAAAGATTAAACATTGTCGGAAGGAGATATCAAGTTGGAAGAGGAATAATAGGACCAATGCCAAGGAGCGCATAATGATTCTCAGATATAGGTTGGATAAGGCTATGTCATCACAAAGATCATCTAATGGGGAAAGAACGAAGCTGCGGGAAGAGTTAAACCAAGCATATGCAGAGGAGGAGATGTTCTGGAAACAAAAAAGCAGGAACCAGTGGCTCAACTCAGGTGATAAAAATACTAAATTTTTTCACTTGGTTGCCAAAACAAGACGTATCCGGAATAATTTGACAGCTATCATGGACGCGAATGGGTCAATTCATAGAGGAGATAACGCTATTGGCTCTGTTGCTGAAGACTATTTCCAACACTTATTCTCGTTACAACCGGTAACAACAGAGAGTTATGACCAAGTTTTTGAAGGTTTCGAAGAGAGGGTTTCGAGTGAAACAAACCAAGAGTTAACAAAGCCTGTGGCTGTAAAGGAGATTGAAGATGCAGTTTTTTTTATTGGACCTCATAGAGCACCAGGACCAGATGGGTTCTCAGGAGCTTTCTATCATCAGTTTTGGGACGACATCAAACATGCGGTCATCACAGAGGTACATAAGTTTTTTAAAGATGGTGTTCTTGACCCACTTCACAATCAGACAAATATTTTTCTGATCCCGAAGGTTAATCCTCCAACAAGCATGGTTGATTTCCGACCAATATCACTCTGCAATGTGAGCTATAAGATCATCTCTAAGATCTTGGTGAATAGGCGGAAAAATCATCTATCAGGTATAATTTCTGAGAATCAAGCTGCCTTCATCCCGAGACGCATGATTACGGATAATGTAATCATTGCACATGAGATGTATTATGCTTTAAAATCAAGGAAGCGACAAGCAAAATCATATATGGCGCTGAAAACGGACATGACGAAGGCATATGATCGATTAGAATGGAGCTTTCTTGAAACAACAATGAGGCGTATGGGGTTTCCCATTAGGGTTTGAGATGGGATAGATTAGAGGTTTCATATGCTTAATCCTTCTAGCTTATGGTCTTAATCTAGATTCTCTCTCTTTTGGATAGATCTTAAGGCTACATGACCACTACCCCTGGCTTGTAAGTCCTTAGGCGATTCTCCACATGGAAGTGATGGAAATCGCTGGAAAATATCCACTAAGAGCTCCAATAACTCTTGCTCTCGAAATGAGGTTTCAAGGGGTTGGATGGATTAGTTTGGGCAATGATCCTATAGCCTCCAAGGTTTGATTCTCACTGGCTAACCCCCTGTTTCTGAGATCATTCCTTGGTTGATAGCCTCCACCTTGGGAAAGGGTTGGCTAGGCATTGAGAAGCCCAATATCAAGAGAAGCCTTGATACAAGGAGTTTTAAGAGCTGGATGGATTAAGTGTAGTTTCCTTTGATTGCAAAACCCTGTCTTGAACCCTAATTCTCTCTCTAGTTTATTAAAGTCGCTGCCTTTACTGTTTTTCTCGCTAACTCGACCCACAACTCGATCGAGCTTGGTACTCTGTTCCTACTCGACTCGAGTCATTGGTCGAGCTGCTTGTTTACTTGCTTTCTTACTTCCTGCTTTGCATTTCTATTTGTTAGGTTGCTAGTGTTACATCAGTATTAATCACTGCTTGCTTGACTTCTTGGTTGTTTCATATTCATAGAGTGACAAGTTCCCATTTTGGATTGATAACCTCTTATACTACATCGACTATGATGGTTAAGAGGAATTGATTGATTGTGATTGCACCATACCATCTCATCTTTATTCACCCCTGTTTGCATTCCACCTCATATCTTATCACATCCACATAAAATCCTATCATCATCTACTCTGTCAAATCTGGCTATTGGTTAGCTATGCATTCTCCGGATACTCAAGACATTGAAACTCCATCTGCAAATCTGATTCTCAATAAGACTATTTGGAAGATAGATTCGGCTCCAAAAATAAAGCACTTCCTTTGGAAACTGGTTTCAAGATCTTTATCAACGAAGGACACATTGAAGAGGAGACATATTGTTCGAGATTCGGTCTGTGTACGTTGCTGCCAAAGAGAGGAGACAGCAGATCACTTGTTATTTGAATGTCCGTATGCACAACAAGTGTGGAGAGGAATTGGCCTAATGAGACCCTCATTGTTGGACCCGTTGTTGTCTTTTGAAGATAAGCTGGAAAACATTTTGCTTGATCCCATATTACTTTCATCACACAGAAGTCACCAGACGGTCTTATGGTTACTGTGGAGACTATGGAAAAGTCGAAACAGTCTAATTTTCCAGAGGAAAGCAATTCATTGGAGGTCACTTATTCGATATGTGAAGAGAGATGTGGCAGAATATTTGTATGCTCAGGAAAATTCACAAGAGGTATGTCAAAACAGAGGGAATGGTTTGTTTACTCGGGCTACAAGGAATGAAGTTTGGAAGCGCCCATCACAGGGATGGATGAAATGTAATTTCGATGGTTCCTTTCACAGTCGAGATGAGAAGTCTGCAGTAGGTTGGATAATCAGGGATGAGCATGGTATATATAGAGGATCGGGTTATGCGAAGGACGATAAACCGCAAACAGCTCTAGAGGGAGAATTTCAGGCTTTAACTATTGCAATGGAACATGCATGGGTGCGAGGATATCGGAAGGTCATATTTGAAGGGGATTGTAAGGAGCTGATTAATCTAGTCGGTAACACATCTCTAAACTTTGGCATTTACAATTGGATTCAGGAAGTCTGGTTTTGGAAGAGCAAATTTGAAGAAGCCGTGTTTTCATGGGTGCCGAGGACAGCTAACAAGGTGGCGGATATGATAGCCAAAAGAAGAATGCCATCAGAGCAAAGTTCTTATTTCTATTCTCATATTCCAATGTTCCTTTATGATGTAATTCACAATGACCTCGTTGATTCAGTTCAATAAAAGTAATTTCAGATGATTCATATATATATATATGAAAGATTTCAAAGCTTTAACTCATTTAACAAAAGATTATGATGTGTTGTACCAATTTCATTATCTTGACGGGGACGTTTGTTTTTTAGCAAAGCTGATTGGAAAACACTTGTTGAAGGCAATAAATCCTCGATTTCCCAAGGTGAAATCTTGTTAGATTTGGAATTACGGCTTGTTCTTCCCATTGTACCTAGTAAAACAGAGTTGGTGAATATTGTTATTTATTATGATTGGAAAAAGTAAAAAAAAAAAAAAAGTAGAATTTTACTTCAACTGATCGCCATTTTGAATCATTCCAATTAGGGGAGTAATCTTTGACATCCTTAATTGTCCCAAAGCATCTTTTATAATAAAATAAAAAAATATAGATAAGAAACAAAAGAAAAGAAGAACAAAAAGAAAATATGTTCATATGGTTTACCTTCTTTCAATTAAATCTTCACCCTCAAAACGCATTTTAAATCTCGAGCCAACATTGACCTTATTGTTCACAGCATCTAGATATTTTTCGTAGCTGATGACAAATTGGCTTGACCTAATATCATATCAAGATCCATAATAGTAAGCACAATATTGAAGAAACTAATTCCATGTTATATCTATAAATAACAAAATGTTTTTATTTACCTTGGCTTATAGACCACAGTGAACATACAAGGGGAATTAATAGCATTCTTTGCAGTAGAAATTATTCCATGGTACATAGTATCTATTGAAACTGTTGATGAAGCTATGTTGTTTTGTTTATGCACAGCTCTTCTGATACCAACTCGTAATTCCCCATTCTCTCCTCTAAAAAAAACAGTTTAAGTCTGTAATCTAGTAAAAAAAAGAGAGAAGTAAAACCATTAAATTTACCGAAGAAATACAACAGCGTCTCCGGCGACTAATTTTTTTGCTGTAACAAACACATTCCAGCCGCTGTGAACAAATGTCTTTGGGGTGTGCCTGCATGAGATTGTTTCCATACAAATAGAAGACCATATATTACTAAGCACAAATAAAGTATCATTTTCATTATTATTATTTTTTAATGGACTGATCAGATAAATGATTCATTGCCTCTAAAAATATGTTTGAATCTCCATTCATAACCATTGAGATCTTTAGCGACTAGCTCTTGAGTCGGTGTTGGTTGTGACATATCCTAAAAAAAAATAATCAATAAAAGTCATATGGAAGCTTGAAAAATGAAATATGAGTTTATTCGATTAAAAACAAAGTGCATATACCAGCGGAGGAAGACATTCAGTTGCATGTCTTCTCAGCACAGATAATCCACTATGTCCGTTTGTATCTGATGTAGTTAGGACCTTTGTGAAAGAACGAACTACTGGCAATCGACGGTTGACATTATTGGGAATAGGAATTGCAGTTTTCTAGATATTTCAAATTAAAAAAAAAATCATTTAAAAGGGATTAAAAAATGTGCAAGTAATTTAAAAATATTTTGAATTTTGCATCACCATGGAGTCCGGCATCAAAGTAATCTTGGTGTATACTTCATCAGTATCTTTGTCCACCTAAAATTGAATACAAAAATCAGCAACAATATAACCAATATATATGCAATCTAAGCAAATGTAGCTCATGTGTAAATAATGGGCCATTACCTCAAGCTGATAACCACTAACATGACATGGAATCTTCGACGGAAGATCGACATTAAATTGCCTCAGATGATCCATTTTTGGTTTGTAGACGCTTCTAACTAAAGATGCCATTAAATTGCATAATGTTATTTCAAAAACAAAATATAATTTTTAAGAGAAAATTAAAATCGAAGATATAGAGATTGAGCCCTTACTTGCTCTAGTTGTCCTTGAGGAAAGTAATAAACTTTTTCTCCAATTTTGGAAGATCAGAAGTCCAGCACATGATTTCCATGACTCCTCGTACAAATAGCTCTTTGAGTATCAACTGCTCAGTAAAAAGAGAAAAAACATTATCACACAAAAATGTTTCTGAAAATAAAAGAAAGTCAATAAAAAATTTCTCACTTATGCCTAAAATTTCAGGATATGCATTAGCAACTTCATTATCGCCATCTCTTATTACGATTTAACACAATAAAGCCACCAAATATTTTCTATGTGATTGATCAACCCGCTTAACTCACTCCCAACTTTCTCTCTTTAAGCCACGAGAACACAAAACGTGTGGCTACAAGAAACAAAAAAAACAAAGAAGAAACTTATTCGGTTACCATTAATAAACATGTATAAATTTGATAAAATAAATCTATATTTTATGAACTCGAAGGCAATAAAATCCTGATTTTGATCATAAAGCTAATAATTAGTATAATACCAATGTTTGATGAATAAGAGAAACTTATTGATAATATTACTGAAAGGTAGCGCGAACGAGTTACTTTAACTATAGTTATTTTTTTATTTTGTGAATGATTTGATGCGAAAGATATATAAAGGTATTTATAGGTTAAACAAGATTCTTCATAAATAATTAGATTACCGAAAAATTATACAATAGTCAGCAAAATATATCATCATCAATACCTTACTAAAACTTACTCGAGAAACAAACTAAGTTTCATTAACTTTGACTTCATTTTTTTATAATGTCCGAAGATAATTACAAAACAATTTTTAAAGGTTAATTAACTTATTCAACCATTAGTATACCCAAAAAAAAAATGAATAGCAATATGATGTAGGAAGAAATTAAATGTGGATGGTGCAATAAATTTTGTTGACTTTGTATTTATAGATAACCATAAATACAATCGAACTAATGGTGAAATGAATCAGGTTTATGAAGAGATTAAGTCATGTTTTAGTTAACATTCTCTTTGATTGTTTTGGTTTCAGAATCTAAATTTGCAGAGAGTTCGCTTGATTAGGAAACTTAATATCATACACATGGAAATATCAAAGTCATATGTGTTACAAACACTACTTCCCAAAAAGATCATTCCCTTAACCGTAATTAAGACACAAACCACACTTAGTTTGTCCAAAAAGATCATTCCCTTAAACCTTATTTAAGTACTAAGTCAACTAACAACCGAGTCAACTCCTAAAACTTTCAAACATGATTTGCAGCTTCTGGAACCTTACCCATCAACCTAAGCTTCTTGCCGTTAAGTCTTGATTCCTGGGAGATTAACTCTTTCCACTCATCGCTCAGCTCTCTTCTTTGCACATCCCCAATGTTCTTCATCATCTTCTCAAGATGAATCTTCTTCTGATTTTCACCTAGACATTTCAACACCACAGTCTCAAGTGCATCCCGCACACCCTAAAACTCATCATCGTCTTCTCCAATAGTCATGCCCACGGTTTCCTGCTCAGCTCCATTTCCGGTTACAGGCTCTTCCACATTATCCGCCTGAAACGTCTCTTCATGAAGCGATTCTCTGTTCTCAGCCCCATTTTCATGTACAGGCTCATTTGCGTTAACGACTTGCTCATCCGCATTCAACGTCTCTTCCTGATGCATCAAACAATTTCGATCAAACAAGCAACTCCAATTCATTAACGAAACCATATTGTTGAAACATGTTCATTAATCAAAACCACTCAAATACATCAAACCAATTTAATCGAGAAAACAGATTTGACAAAGCTTGAATCAAATAGCTAATTAGAGTCATCTCATTATCCACTGATTCTTCAAACCAAACAAGACTTGACAAAGAAACTGACAACCGAAATAGCTTATAAATCACTTACCGCTTTCTCAGCCTGCATTTCGTCATTCTCGTTCAAGGGCCAATCTCTGACCTTCCGGATCCGTGACTGAGGCTCTGCAACGTCGAAGCCATGCTTCTCTAGCTCGGCAAAGGAAACACAGAGTCTGTCGAATGTGCTTGTGGAATCATTCGGTTTCAGGTCTTTGACTTCCTCTAGTAAACCGTAGTAGCTCACCATCATCCCAACCGCTGCCCACTCACGGACATCGTCTTTGGCTTCGAGCAATGGACTGAAGTGAGGTATGGGTTTGAGACTCTCCAGTGTCTTCCAATACGGAGACTTCTTCTTTTCAAAAGGCAGAGCTGCAAGCGTGTCAAATCAAATATGATATGATTAAGATTTGACAAGACACAAACATGTCAAACAAAACTAATATGGTTAGTGCATAAAGGATTTAGACGTACCAGTTTCATTCAGGTCTGAGTCTTGTTTTTCTCCTCTTTTCCTTTTTCTACTCTCATCTTCAGGCAACTGCATAAAGAGTGCAAAGCCATCATTTACAATCATAATAAGCATCATCTACTGAAAGCGAGAATTGACTAATGTTTCTACCGAGAAAAAAACTAAACTTTACCGTGTGTGGAGTTGAATCATTTCCCAAACCATTCTCAGAGGATGCCTTTCCTTTTGTTACAGGTGAAACAGAACCGCTTTCAATATTCATGAAGAATAATTCACAAACAAGCAAGTAAAAGAAGGAAGAAAGAAACAGAGCATTCACCTATTGGTGTTACTTGTGGGGTAATGATGACCAGTGGGGTTTTATCAATCATCACAGCATCGACCCTCTTCTTTCCCACTTCTCCAGTCATCTTTTTATTACCAAAGCAACAAAACAACATCATACGAAATCAAACAACTTATTGGTATGGAAATCAAACCAAGTAACAGATGATTAGCTTTAGTTTTAATCAAGTAAAAAAACAATAAAAGATCAAGCAACTCCAATCTGACTCCAAACAAGAGTTGACACAAAAGAAAAAACAGAATCATAATAGCTTATAAATCACATACCGCTTTCTCATACTGCATTTCTTCATCATCACAGTCTTCACCGCTCTCTTCTCCAACGGTCCTGCCCTCCTCTCTCTGCTCAGCTCCATTCTCGTTCAAGGGCTCATCCGCATTCACAGTCTCCTGCTGAATTCATCAACCAAAGTAAATCATATTGTTAAAAAAAATATCAACTAATTTGATTTCAAACAAGACTTGACAAAGAAACTAGATAGCTTAGAAATCACTTACGGCTTTCTCGGTCTGCATTTCATCATCATCGTCGTCTTCACCTTCACCTTCACGACTCTCTTCTCCACCGGTCCTGCCCTCATTTGTCTGCTCAGCTCCATTTTCGTCTAAGGGCTCATCCTCATCAGCCACATTCATCGTCTCCTCCTGATTCATCAAACAGTTTTGATCAAAACAAGCAACTCCATTTGACAAAAGCTAAATATAAACATGTCATTATCCACTGATTCAAAGTAGCAAACCAAACCATAATTATCATCGAACATATTTTTGGGAAGATCAAAGTGTAGAAAGAAGTAGTTTCTTCAGATCCAAGTCAAGACAGAACCATTCAGTATACTCATGTAATCAAAAGGTTTCTTATATAACAAATAAAAGCTTTATTGTTGTGTCTTCTTTCAGACATTTATATCACCATAGCATGCAGGAAGAAGAAGATCTCAGACTAAACAAAGATATCTCCTTTTTTGGAAATTTGAATTTAAAAGGGAACAAATTATATCACTAGTAGCATAATGTTGGTCATAAATTCATCAAACATACATAACAATAAAGATGAAGCAACTCCAATCTGAATCCAGACAAGACTTGACACATAAGAAAAAACAGAATCGAAGTAGCTTATAAATCACATACCGCTTTCTCAGTCTGCAATTCGTCTTCACGGCTCTCTTCTCCAACGGTCCTGCGCTCCTCTATCGGTTTGCTCTTCCTCTTCCTCTTCCGCTTCCTCTTCTTCTTCTTCTGCTGCTGCTGCATGCATTGGGTCAAGCTTCTCCATTTCAGAGACAGAGACATCGCCATCACTGGGGAAGCGAATTTTACCCGTTTCGGAGTCACCATCGTAAATCACTGCATAAACCAAACACAATTCGACACCAAAAAAACCCTAATTAAAAAAAGAAACCCAGATTCACCAGAATCGAAACAGTGATCACAGAGAGAGAAGAACCTGAATCAACGAGTGGAGAGCAGAAAATGGTCCTTTGGTTTTCTCTCTATTATAAAAGACTCATAAAAGTAAAACTTTACTAAAAAAACCCTCCTATTTTCTCAAACCTTTCAAAACAACCCTAACATTTTGTTTAATAAGCCTTATTTGTTTGCAGATTCGTCCCCCAAAGTTTCTAATTTTGCCCTCGATTCGGGAACAAAAAAAATATTCGACGTTTCCATAACCAGGGACGATTCAGTGATACTCCATTAATTTTCTCACAAAGTATTTTTTGGAAGTTGTTCACATTTCTTGCGATTTCTTGAGATTTCTACTCGATTTCTTTTCCAAGAAAAGTGTATAGCTTCGTATGAATGCTATTTAATGTGTGCACTATTAGTCTATTACTATACATGCATATTCTTTAAAGAATGTTTTTTTGTTAAAATTCTTTAAAGAATGTTTCATTATCATTGAGAATTTCAGTATTTTACGGAAACATCTATACTATTAAAGGAGAGGCACAAAATAAGGATTCAACCTTTCAAAAGAGGCTATCCCTGTTTCCAAACACCCCTAAACCCGAAATTAACACTTAAATCAAACCGGAACAGTAATTACAAATGTATTATTGATTTCACGATTTTTTAAAACCGGGGAATATTTCGAAGATCAAATCAGGATATTCCCCGAGAAGGAAGTATACCATTATTCACGGTGCAATCAAACCCTGTTATTACGGTGTACGATCTCGAATATGAAATATTTTCGAATATGGTGCATTACCTTTCTGAAATAAGATTCAAAATCGTGATATAATCTTAACTTGAGGAGCACGGACAATCTTATGTGAATATTTCCACAATCGAACCTACCTTGATTATACGGAATCCCCAACTTCCTAAAATCTCCAAAAAAAATATTTTCCTAGAAACCCTACCATCATAAACCTAAACTAACACTATAAATAAGGATACTCAGTACACCATAAAATCATCACAGAGATTCACTATTTTTCCTAGAAAAGCAAAAATACGACTATGACTATTGGTCAAATGTTCACCAAGCTCGCTGATCTAAAACCTTTCAAGTCCACTTGGAGGGTTCGTGTGAAAGTGTTACATTCCTGGCGACAATTCCCTGGCATGTCAGGAGAGACGCTGGACTTAATCCTGGCTGATGAGCATGTAAGTATCAGATCCAGTAATTATTTTAAACTAGATAACATCGTCATGATTGTAACATATTTAGTGTGTTTACCGTAGGGTTGTAAGATGCATGCTGGAGTCAAGAAGAGGGATATAGGCAGGCTATCTAAAGATCTGAAGGTCGGTGAATGGAGAGTCGTTGAGAATCTTGAAGTAAGGGAAGCGACTGGTCAATTCCGTCCTACAGGCAGTAAATGGAAAATGTCGTTTACTATGAACACCGTAGTAAGCAGACTGTTAAATCAGACAACCAGTTCCTAACGTTGGTACCTATTCGAGCTGTAGTTGATGGAGGGTTGAACCACTGCATCCTCATTGGTAAGCCAAAAAAATTAACAAATTTCTTTTCTGATATAGATGTTTTTGGTATGAAAGAGATCAACAACCTTTTTGGAATTATCCTTTTTCGCAGATGTCATGGGCCAGGTTCTCAATGTCAAGGATATGAAAGTTGTACCTGTCGCTGGAAAAGAGAAGAGGAAGCTTGAGTTTGTTCTTAGAGACACTGAGTAAGTTCTTGATTTGACCGTGAATAAACGTTACAATGATTTAAGTAATTGGTCTAATTCATCATCTATATTTGTTTGCTTAATTAATGCAGTGATCAAAGAATAAACGGATGCCTATGGGAATCATACGCTGACCAACTGTATGAGGCATGCAAGCAATCCAATGGACAAACCTTGATATGCTTGATCAGATTTGCAAAGATTGGAACCTATCAAGGCAAGCTTTTCATACAAAACTAAACGATATTTATTATTTTCATGTGTAACATACCATTAAACATAGACGCAACATCATTTAAAGTCAAACTCAATTCTCATGTATAGGATAATTGCATATCACAAATGGTTACGATGCGTCTAAGCTGATTATCAATCCCAAATGTCCTGAAGCCGATCATTTTCGTGCTATGTAAGTAAATAAAACACATAGTCTTGATTAGTGTTCATCGATGACTAATCTTTGTACTAACCTTTTAATTGGATCTGTTGCGCAGGCTACCTTCTGATGGTCTAGCTATTACTATCACTGAGGAGGATGAAGAGGAACTGCACCTTCAGAGGAAGCAGAAGGACGAGGAATGGTTAAGTATGGATCTTAACTCGATTTACGAAGTCAAGAGTTCCTCGGAGGTAAATTTATATCTCAGTGTGAAGACAAATATTATTAGCGATGCCTTATAAACTTGACTTACTTGGGAAGGGTTTCAATATTAGGTTGAGAAATTTAGAATTTCTGCCAAGGTAACTGCCATCGATTCCGATTGGGGATGGTACTACTTTGGTTGCGGTAAATGTCAACACCGAGTCTTCAAAGACTTGAAGAAGGAGAACTCCACCAGACCACGACCACAGGTTCCCATCTGGTACTGTGACAACTACAAAACTAACGTGAAATCGGTCTCACCAAAGTAAGTCTGCATAAATGACTAATTACTTAAACTATTTAAATTTATGATTTTGTCCATTGGATTCTTAACTAGATATTTTGATAATATGATAATCAATAGATTCAAGCTACACCTGCTGATTGAAGATGATTCTGATAAGACGAAGGTTATGTTACTTGACTCTGTCGCAGAGGGACTAGTTACCAAGTCAGCCACCTTCCTACTAAATGGTTCTACAGATGAGGTAAACGAAACTGACATAAACATTAAAGATTTTTGTATAGTCTTGTGAAACATTTAACTAATGTTGTCATGTTGATCAATACAGATTCAGGACCCAGAACTCTTACCTGATTCTATTAAAGATTTGGTTGGAAGCACTTTTGAGTTTCTGGTTGGTGTAGAGAAGGAACACATCATATATGGGAACGACATCTACAAGGCGCACAAAGTTAAAAAGGGACTTCTTATCGTTCATGATGACTCCCTAATGAGCAGATTACTAGGGATGACAGTCTCTGTCCCATTGAAGAAGAAGGCGAGGTATGTGTGATGATAAGTTTGTAGGAAATAACAATGTTGGTATATATAATGAATGTTTATATAAAAAACTTACCATGAACCGGTTTCTTTGATTCAGCAATCAGTTGTAAAGAGCAACGGTTCAACTCCATCTCCTAAGCGAGCGGGCGAAGACGTCGGAGGAGTACACGAGCTTTCATCAACATCAAAGAAGCCCTGCACAAAGGTTATCAACCTTGATGAAAAGATCACGGAGAAGAGTGATGGTGCGGAAGAAGCAAGCATTTAGATGGATTGTGGTTTTGAGTCACGAATAATCAGAGAACATGTTTTCTCTGCGTTTTCCAGTTTTTTTAAGTTACATTTTTAAAGATGTGTTTTTCCTTCCAAAGATGTTGGTTTATTTCCAGTTTTTTTTAAGATGTCTTTCTTCTTTTCAATTTGTTGAAATCAATCTTTGAACTATTCATCATTTTTTTTTACAATTACGAACACTCACGATTACTTAGGCAAACATTGAACGTTTTACAAACATCCATAATCAACTTCCAAACATGTACTTATGATACACGTACCTAATTTTCCAAGTATGATGTACCAACGATTATCCCAAACAACTTTTCTCCAAAGTAGCATGAAACATCTTATGCCCCTGTGGACATGAATTGATATCTATATCATCTTCCTGAAAATTTACATTAATTTCAACAATAACGGTTGCTAAATAATAGACATACATTTACAAATCAAACTACTTCCCGTTAATTATGAAAGAATGAAAATCACTTTCAGTAATAATATAAAAGTTGAGGAAACACAAAAATGGGGAATATCGAATATCCTCCATTAAAATCTATACTAATAATATAGATAACTATTTTACCGAGATCTTTTACAATATCAATCTAAGTGAGACACCGAATGTAACTACAAAGGAGCTTTGGGAAAAGATTTGTAATGTGTTTTCATTTCAAAACGGTAAAAAAAGCATTCAGTGTCCAAGATGATATCAGAATCTTCAATTTAGAAGGAGAATATTTTTTTTATCTATACTATTATAGGAATTAAATATTCCTAGATCATATCCCTATAAGTAAAGGAAAACTCCATTTCTGGCTGGAAAGAGAATCAAACCAAAACTTAAAAAAATTGGAACTATCTCAAAAATTTCAGATCTTTCTCCTTTCAGAAATGATTGGACAATAAGGGTTAAAGTGTTGGAAAAAGTGGAGCAAGATGAAAGATGGAGGTGGTGACATATTGCGGTTTTTGTTGGTTGATGATCATGTAAGTTTTCAAAATTTTAAAGTTGCATAACTCGGTTTAATATTTTACTCAGAATGTTTTGCTTGGACTTCACAACTTTCTTTAATTGATAGGGTGGAAAAATACCTGCAGAGGTAAGCCAGGACGATGGTCTGTACGAACATTTCGATTATTTGTTGCACGAGGAACATTGGAAAATCATCACTGGGTTCACCGTCCAGTTGTCACCTCCTGGTTTTCGATTTGCACAGAATCACCATAGCATCACTTTCACAGAGAATACGGATCTACAAAGTTCAGGAGGTATTATTAGAGATCATTACATGAATTTCAAGGACTACATAGGCGTAATGAATGGAGTCTATAACTCAGAATTATCCACTTGGTAAGTTTTCAAAATAATACAACATGTTTTGTTCATATATTATGGATATTTGTTGCATTTGCATCTGTGAATGTGCATATATTAATATATATACTGTCTAACTATGCTCTGAAATCTACGTAGACCTTATTGGCTATCTGGATGGTGTTAGTGGCTTAAAAAATGTTAAAGACCACACCTTCACGCTAGGTAATGACAAGAAAACTTCGAGAGTTAAGTTCTGGATCAAGAATTTAGGGTAAGTATGTTTTTTAATGTTCTGTTTTTTTAATAACCACATGAGGAGAATGTTTTACTTGAATGTGTTTTTTATATTATGTATTGTTAGTGGTGACACCTTGGAATGCAAAGCATATGGAGTCTTGGCGATCCAACTTTACGACAAATGGTGGAGGCACGGTGGAAACGAAACCTTCATCACAATGAGTGACTTGAAACTTTACACGGACAGAAGTATATATCAAAACTCTAACCATTTCCTATTTGAAGAATCAAAACATGGTTTATAACATCTATACTATTAGAGACATTCATCGGTAACTAAGTTTACATGTTATAGGAACAAACGAGATCAAGATCAAGGATGTTGGCGGATTATCTAGATTTCAGTTCACTGCTCCTTACCAGGACGTTTATGAATTCAGCTCTGCATAGTAAGCTACAAATCTTTTACTATTATTTAGCCTATGGTAATTATGAAACTCCAGTGGTTAAGTAACTAAACATCAAATGCAGTTTTGGAAGCAGTGATGGCTCGGTCGATGAGTTGATTGATCTCTCTCCCTGAAAAACCAGTTTCACTTTGTTTGGAACTAAGCTGTTATTATTTTGGAATGTTATCTACTCTTCTAGAGCCCTATGATCTACAAATTTCGCTTTTATCTACTGCTTATTTAAGGAACAAATGCTGGTTTATAAAAGACCATTTCTTAGTATGTTTCCTTTTTCTTAAAAACTTAGAGTTAATGTTTTGTAATGCAAAAAATATATCTTCTCCGCAAATTCATTGAATCTTTTATTTTTTGAAGAACGTTAGGTCGAAAAAAAAAAGGACAATAATTTTTTCCTAAAACAATTTTCACCCAAAGAAACAAAAAATAATTCAACACATAATCATATCTAAACTGTAGATATCGATATATACTGTTACGAGAGAAGTGTTAAATCAAACCTGTATTTAATACTTTCCGGAACGAACCAATCCGAATATGCAATCATGATTCCTTCGCCGGATACGTAAAAACCGCAAATCACGGAACACGCCGTCTCTGAAAAGTTGAAGATATTCTATGAATAAAGAAAGGAAAGTAGTAAATCCATCGAATATCCACTTCAATCAGTAAATAAATGAAACGATGCAAAGAAGACGCAACCCTAAGACTATATATAAGGACGATCGTCAAACCACTTAACATCACAACTCACCAACAACCAAAACTCAAAACAGAAAACAACTTCCATGGCAAACATTGTGAAACTCTCCAAGGTTACACCTAATCGATCCGATTGGAGTGTTAGAGTGAGAGTTGAAAAGATGTGGTGGACACTAACTTTGGAGTCTGGTGAAGGGCTAAGCTTCCTTTTTGTCGATGATGAGGTTTGTGCATGAATATTTTTAAACTGTTTAACAATCATAAATTTTATATTCGAAGATATCCTAATGTTTCAATTATTTGTTTTTGTCCGAGTCAGGGCACAAGGATGCATGCTTTCGTGGATAACTTTTATCATGGGAAGAAATTTAAGGGTCTCCTTCAGGAAGGACAGTGGAAGATGATAACTGGTTTCAAAGTTCTTATTGTTGAGAAAGAGATACGTATGACTAAAGAGAGGAAAGAGATTGCTCTCACCATAGAAACCCAAGTTGATGATGCAGAACCATTCCATGGTTTTATTCCACTAGATTTGATTCCATTTCAGGATGTCCAGAACGGAATGGTTCACGGTGGAACTTCTTACACCAGAGGTTAGTATTTTAATTGGAATTGATTTTGAAGGGCCAAACTTGCCATATAAATAATGCAAACAAATCTCACTCATCTTTTTATTTTTGATATTGTTTTTTCGTAGATTTCCTAGGTGTGATTGATAGTGTGCAAGATCTAGGCGTCATAGAGGATGACTCTATTCCTAGAAACAGGCATAACAACGATCCTAAGACTACCACCATGATTAACTTTGTTCTCCAAGACAACGAGTAAGAATATGCGAAAGATTTACTTAATGTTTTTGAACATGTGTACTCCTTATATGTTTAGATGCTTCGGATTAACCAATAATCATTCTTTTACAGTGGCTATCATCTTAGGTGTCGTGTGAAGGGACCTTTGGCCAATTGGTTCAAACGCTATTGGCTTATTTATGGTGAATCTGGAACAATCATCTGCCTATTAACCAATTGGCGTGTTGTTGGAAGAGACGGTTAGAAAACCTGCTTACATATAATATACAGCTTTCTAATTTCCCACAAACTTCCATATTAATAAATTTAATTTTGAGATTAACCCCCCCATATCAGGTGCTATACAAGTTGATGATGCAGGAGATATTTCTACATTTGAATATGATCCAGATGGAAGAGATAGGTTGAACACTTCACAAACGTATTGTAAGTATTAAATTCTATACTTGATAATGCTGGTTACAAAGTGTGTTTCACATTTCAAGTCAGGATTTGGTGATTGAAACGAGTATATGAATTGTGTTTTTTGGCAGGTTGGAGTATGATGAAATGAGCGATCAATGAATGAACATGACTAAGGAGTTGGTGGTCTTTTAATTTGCAAGTTAGCTATGTATTTTCCGTATTGATGGTGTGATTTTAGTATGGTACTTTTGATGTCCACTATTTTATCAAATTATCTATGTGTTTTTAAGACAAATCTAAAGTTCCACACAATTTGATCTACTTGTGAAAAAAACAGAACATCCTAGAACAACCAACTCAATCAAACATCCTGCATATTTATAGACGTCTGCACATAGTAAACTATAAAATAAAAAATATCCTAAAACCGCAAGAGATTTCATGATGATGCGATGTTTACCTCAAATGCGTTGGATCCATTCCGGAAGCAATTTAGCCGTCCAACGGATAGACTTCGATCATCACTCACCGGAGAAAACATAACATAAACAAACAGTGGGATTAGGAATTTTGATTTTACATAAATCGATCAACTACAACAAGATTATGAATATGTGCATACAATTTTACCAATCAAGATCCGTTAGAATAAGAATTACACACCTCCACGAGCTGCCGGAAAGGGAATTTTATTCCCCATTACCCCCTTTCGGAGTCGACGGATTTCCGTTCATAATCTCATACTGATGCCGACGATGATAAGAGCGACAACTGGAATCAGACATAATCAGACATAACAATTAGGGTTTCGTTTACTAAAAATTCCCCCAATTCAATTTCGAAACACATTCAATTGAAGTTCGGGCGAATTCGGGTTTCGAAACACAAAACGAATTCGTTTCGATTAATCATTTGACACCGTTTCATAGGCTTTGTTGTCGAAGGCCCATTACAATCAAACAAACTGACCCATTGTAACGAAAGAATTTCGTAGCCAAAAAGATATAACCATATATTCAGCCTCATAATTATTAAGTTAATTACTTTAATAAACTCAACAAAAATTGCAACAACCCATGCTTCCCAAGCACGGGTCATGATCTAGTGTTTCTTTGAAACTCTATTGCAATCGGCTCCAAGAATAACTCTCTAAAATTGGAAAAGATTTATATTTGAACATTATGATTTTAGTCCATTTACAAAACTGAAAAGATGTGTAAGAAAAATATATCAATAGCGTTGAAAAAAACATAATTCTAAAAATTACAACTTTTAGTGAAACAAACGGTTATAAGCAAAAAATAATATTTTGTATAAAAATACATATAAGTTAATATAATTAATTCTTTGGTGTATTAAACATTTTCTTTTATATTTATTCAATAGCTTTTTATATTTAACTGTTTGTAGATTCAGATATATGTTAAATTCTTATATTTGAATGGATATATGAGTTCTAGTCAAGCTCTAGATATCTTAAATTTCCAGGATATATAGATTTCTTTTATCCCTAACTCTCAAAATAAAATAATATATGCAAGAATTTAAAAGAAGCCTTTTCCCAAAAGTAAAAACCCTATGATGACCAAATTCTCTAACAATACTATATAACTATGCAGGTTTGAATTAGATGATAATATAATAACAATAAACTTAATATTTTATATTACTAGAGAGGAATAAACCATTTTATAAATATTAAAGAGTTATGCAAGCCCACACACATGACTAGCATAGGTTATTTGCTTAGGGAAAAAAATAGGGAATCGCTAGCAGATTTTAACTTTCGTGTCTAAGAACCTTTATAGAAACTTAGTTAATTAATTGAACATAAAGATTTTAAAGAATAGAAAAATAATTAACTTAGTAAAATGAGGACAAGCACGAACTAATATGTCAAATTCAGAATCTTGGTTGATCTTATGCATACTGGCATGAATTCAAGCTAAGCATGTCCATGCTTGTGGTTGTGGTTGTAGATGGTAGGATAGATTACAAACTTATGATTCTCTAAAGACTGTCTCACCCTATGTATACTTCTGAGATAATCTCATTTTAAACATGTATAGATACTGTTTCTCATTTATCAATCGTCCAGTTATATAATCCTGTTATAATGATAAAATGATAACCTTTCTTGTTAAACTATAGTATTATTTATTTGGGAAAAGCCTTTAAAATACATGAACTATTTAAAATTTGTGTTATCTGTTCATGAATGGGGTTGTTAGGGACACATGGTGAAGGCTGGCTCTGCGTCTTCTACTTCAAACGTGACGGCTCCAACGCTGAGGCAATGGGAAGAGAAGAAGGAGAGGCAATGATGTGATCAAAGGTTGTGCTAGGAATTGTAGTGGTTGATCGAATTGCTCTGGTATCAAAATGTTATTAGTTGAAACTTCTTTTGTCCCACTACACCTTCCCGTTTCCTCTTTGTCCCAATACCTTTTTTTTTGACATTTTTCTCAGTTTTGCCCTTCATTTTAGTTTTGTTTCCATTTTCGTTTTTTAAATTAAAATATATTAAATAAAAATAAAATTAACAAAACTAAACTAATTAAAAAATAAACCGAAAAAAAACAAAACTTATTCTCTCCTTCTCTCCTTCTCTCGCGACGGCGCCGGAGGCGATCGATAACCTAATCTCAATCGATTTCGTCATGATGAAGGAAGGAAGAACGTGATGTTTTGGATAGTTGGAGGAAAAAAAGGAAAGAAAGATTTGAAAAATATTCAGTTGCAATATTTTCTCGATCTTCGCAGAAGATGAATTCTACAAAACCGTAGACGACACTAGTTTTGCTAGATTGTGTACTAGAAACACGAGTACTACGGATCGTAGAAAACATGGTTTTAGTAGAACACTACTTCTGCGGGATGTAGAGTAGACAAAAACACGTAGAATACGAAAACTATTTCTTGTAGATAGCAGTGTTTCGCGTAGAACGTAAAATCTACGAGTAGTAGAAGATACTTGATTGAGTAGAATACATTTGGTGCGAATTCTACAAAATGGTAGAGCCTATAAGAGTAGGTAGATATCAACTTCTACATCCGGAAGAGGTATGAATAAGTTGTAGATATTATGTTCTACGGAGGTTAGACCTCTGAATATCTTGCAGAAAACGAATTCTACTTTGTTATTTTAGTTTTGTAGAATGAAACTTGAAATATTTTTTTAAATATCATAAGCATTTTCAAAAATGTTCAAAAATTTTACACAGTGCTAAAATGATTTTTAGGAATTATGGCATTTTTTTTCACTCCAAAATACATTTAGTATGAGTTTATAAATAAATTGAAGGGCAAACTTGACCAAAAAAGACCAAAGTCAAAAAAGGTGTAGTGGGACAAAAAAGTTTCAATTTGGGGTAAATTGCCAATTCTCCCATAAAACAATGTAGATTTGATTTGATTTGATTTTTCTGCATTCAATTATTTTTCTTTCAAAATTTGGTCAGAAACTACAAGTAGGAGGTGGAAGACACGGCAAGCAAGAGAGATATGTTAGCATATAAATCATTTAGTGATGATTCTGTTATTAATTCATTTTGATGATTCTATGTGTTCTGGATATTGATACGGAACAAAAACAAATATATTCAAAGTTAGAAATAAGATTAAACTAAAATATCTTATGGCATAAAACACAGTGTACAAAATCACAATTTTCATATATATTAAAAGGCCAACGTTTACCCTCTGTCTCGGTTTGCAGTATAAAACGATCAAGAAGACATGAACAAATAACATTACACGAGAACATCAACACATACGAAAAAAGTGAAGGAAGAAGATGAAAATGAAGAGTTGGGAAAGCATAAAATCGATATTCATGCATGCCGACCGTGTGGATTGGATGTTGATGACATTAGGGTTAATCGGAGCCGTCGGTGATGGTTTCATCACTCCTATTTTAGTCACCAGCTTAATACTGAACGACATCGGTGGTTCCTCATTCGGTGATGAAACCTTCATGCAAGCCATCTCGAAGGTCATTTCTCTCTTCTTTGCTCTATGTTCTCTTTCTTTTCTCAATATAGTCATAAGAGATGTGAGTCATTGCTAATTGGTTCTGAGATAGAAACATGTGAGTGAATCTTGACATGAGATGAGAGGAAGTAAATCTTTGACGCTTGAGAGTATATAATTTTTTTTCTACATTCTTTCGAATAAAAGAGTACTGATGTATTTTTCCATTTTTGTACACGTTGGGTGATTAACAGAATGCTAGAGCTTTGCTTCATGTCGCTTGTGCAGCTTGGGTGATATGTTTCATTGGTAAGTCTTTTCAGTTAATAATACTAGTTTAATTATTTCCCATTGTAGCTAAAACACATCAAAGTAAGAAAATTCGAACATTATTATTACAAAATAATTTATATATCTAAATTTTTGGTTTGGTTTTTAAATACAAACAAAACAGAAGCATATTGCTGGACAAGAACAGGGGAGAGACAAGCTTCAAAAATAAGACAGAGGTACTTAAGAGCAGTATTAAGACAAGATGTGGGTTATTTTGATCTTAATGTCACAAGCATTTCTGATGTTATCACAAGTGTCTCTAGTGACAGCCTCGTGATCCAAGACGTCCTCAGTGAAAGGGTCTCACCTATAAAATTATTTAATTTATCATTCTAATAATGTTTTTCTTGTCTCTATGACTCTATTACCCAAGTTTTTGGTGGTTTCTATTTGAATCAGTTACCAATTTTTTTGAAGAATGCATCGGCATTTGTTGCAAGCTACATCGTTGGTTTCATCATGCTGTGGAGACTCACAATCGTAGGCTTCCCGTTCATAATCATCCTCTTGATCCCTGGACTGATGTACGGACGAGCCCTCATCAACGTCTCGAGGAAAGTACGCGAAGAGTACAATGAGGCTGGTTCTATTGCCGAGCAGGCCATCTCACTGGTGAGAACCGTTTATGCATTTGGTACTGAGAGGAAGATGCTATCGAAATTCTCAGCTGCGCTTCAAGGCTCGGTGAAGCTAGGAGTGAGACAAGGACTAGTTAAAGGAATTGCCCTCGGGAGCAATGGTATCTCTTACGCCATTTGGGGGTTTATGAGTTGCAAGGAAGTCGAATGGTTATGGACCATGGTGCTAAAGGCGGTACTATCTTCTCAGTCATCGTATGCATCACCCTTGGTGGCACGTAAGTAATAATTCCAAAGATTTAAGGTCAAGAAATGGTTTCTTAGTTTTCTTGACACAAACGCAAACCATTTTGTAGTTTTGATTTTATGTATCTAACATTTTTTCAGATCACTTGGTCAAAGTTTGTCGAACCTTAAATATCTCTCAGAGGCGATTGTAGCAGGGGAAAGGATTATGAAAATGGTAAGAAGAGTTCCTGATATTGATTCAGAAAACGCTGCAGGTCAAACCCTGGAGAAAACCAAAGGAGAAATCCAATTCAAGCACGTGAAATTCATGTACCCGTCTAGACCCCAATTTTTGAAGATTTATGTTTGAGAATTCCATCTGGCAAAACCGTGGCTCTAGTGGGCGGAAGCGGATCGGGAAAATCGACCGTGATATCGCTTTTGCAGAGGTTCTATGACCCACTTGCTGGAGAGATTCTCTTAGATGGTGTATCCATACGAGAGCTGCAAGTAAAGTGGCTGAGGTCGCAAATGGGTCTTGTTAGCCAAGAGCCAGCGTTGTTCGCCACATCGATAGAAGAAAACATATTATTTGGTAAAGAGGACGCATCCCTGGATGAAGTAGTGGAAGCTGCAATGGCCTCAAATGCTCATCATTTCATTTCTCAATTCCCTCATGGCAGGGGCGGAGCTAGAATTATTTTGCACCAGGGTCATATATAAAACAAATGGTACAAAATGGTCATATGAGAAGATTTGAACTTGAGACAAGGGGGTCATTTGACAATATTTAAACCAAATTAGCTATCATGTGAAAATAAATATTTATAAAAGTAGTAGGGGTCAGCTGACCCCCTTCCTCTCCACCTAGATCCGCCCCTGCCTCATGGTTACAAAACTCAGGTTAGATTCTAATTTTTTTTAATAAGTTTATTATGTTTTCGGTAATTCTCCAAAATGTACTAAAAATTTAGTATTCCAAAATCAGACTCATAAGTTTTTTTTTTTTTCAAAAATGGACCGAAATTTAACACAAAAATAATAAAAACTTCTTCTTAACCCAAAAATCTGAACCCTAAGCTTTTTCAAAAAAAAAAAATGTTTGTGAAAGTTTATGCATGCGAAAAAGTTTGTGAAATGTTTTCAAACCACCAATGTTATATGTTTACTTAACTTCTATCTAATAGTTTGCTTTTCTTTCTTTCTAGTGGAATGTCACAAGAGACTGCTCGGATGCAAGTTCGGCCGACAATGCTACGGAGGCTGTACCCTCACCGTGTGGGGATTCAGGTGAACCGGGATTGGCCAGTGGGGTGTGGACCAAACGCACGGTGGGGAGCTTCCCAAGTGCCACAAGTGCCAAGTCCCCAGGAACAGCCCAAGTGGAAGATGGGTAGGCCGAGGAAGCACCCACTTCATGAGCAGGAGCCGGTGGTGAACTTTCGAACGGTTTGGGAACCGGTGAGAGTGGCACAAGGTCCACGGACGTTGCTGGAATACCACTGGGATTTCGCTTTTGCCGCAGAGTAATTGGGAGCTTATGGGAGTGGAAATGAAAGGGCCATGCTCTTTCATGAAGGGCTGAGAGATGAGCTTCGACGCAAGGTTCCCCACCCTAGGACTAAGGAAGATAAGAACCGGGTGAAGTATGTTCTGATGGCAGCTCGCCAAGCAGAGGAAGAGAAGCAACCCCAAGAACAAGAGTCCGAGTACGGATTAACAATCAAAGAATCATAAGAGAAAACTAACACCAAAATAACCTTGTCTTATACCTAAGGGGAAAGCTCTAATCATTCTACGACGAGGAGCCCCCGACTCAAAGTCTTCATCCGAGTCTACTTTCTCTCATGAGTCTTCATCTGAATCTAAGCATTCTGATGGGTTGCTCTCTCGTACTCAGACTCCTGTTCTTAGGGTTGCTTCTCTTCCTCTGCTTGGCGAGCTGCCATCAGAACATACTTCACCCGGTCCTTATCTTCCTTAGTCCTAAGGTGGGGCACCTTGCGTCGAAGCTCATCTCTCAGCCCTTCATGAAAGGGCACTCCCATAAGCTCCCAATGACTCTGCGGCAAAAGCGAAAATCCGGTGGTATTCCAGCAACATCCGTGGACCTTGTGCCACTCTGACCGGTTCCCAAACCGTTCGAAAGTTCACCACCGGCTTCTGCTCAGGAAATGGATGCTTCCTCGGCCTACCCCTCTTCTACTTGGGCTGTTCCTGGGGACTTGGCACTTGTGGCACTTGGGCAGCTCCTCACCGTGCGTTTGGTCCACACCCCACTGGCCAATCCCGGTTCACCTGAATCCCCACACGCGGAGGGTACAACCTCCATAGCATTGTCAGCCGAACTTGCATCCGAACAGTCTCTCATGTCATTTCACTAGAAAGAAAGAAAAGCAAACTATTCGATAGAAGTTAAGTAAGCATATAACATTGGTGGTTTGAAAACATTTCACAAACTTTTTCGCATGCATAAACTTTTACAAACATTTTTTTTTTGAAAATGAAAACGTTTTAGGACTGATCCTCCGGATCAGAACCAGAGTGATCTTAACCTAAGCTCTGATACCAATTGTGACACCCGCTCCCTCCGGTCCAACCAACCAACCGGGAACTGAGCGGCGTATCAAGTTATTCTCCAAAGAGACATAACCTTTCCCTTGGTCCCATTACTTTGGTTGTCCATTTAGCAAACCACACCAATGAATATAGCAAACAAACACTTCCATCTTCCTAACCTAAAAGAAAAGGGAAGGGGGAGGGATGAGTAATTTAGATTACCCAGGAGGACAAACCTATACAACCAACTTACATTTTTCAAACCCGAGATCACAAAGCCTCGGCTAAACAAAACATCACACAATGTCTCTAATGACATCACACAATCAATACTAGCAATTCGTCTATCAATCTAACGCAATACACAAGGACACTACACTAGTTCATTAACCACACACATCACAACTAACACCCTAATTCAACAACACAAGTATAATACCCAAGTTCATTATGCACATTACGTCACACTAGCTCGACATACACAAGTTCATCATACCAAATCATTAAACACAACTCATTACACCAGCGACAACGTCTCTATCATCCTAGCTCAAACATGCTCAAGTATACCACACATGATCACACAAACGTTGTACTCACACAACGCACACAACCGGCCCACAATGCCCATATGTCATCAGCGGCCACTACCCCGAGGTATTATGCGCTGGCTACGCTGCCCCCGTCGGATATACTGCCCGGTCGAGTCACTCATCAGTGCACCATGGCTTATGCTGCGGCATAACCGCCATACGAACGTTACCCTAACCGGAGGTGTCGGGTTGATTTCTGTCTACCCCAAGACATGCCCACATGGCTATCACATAGACTAAACCTTGATACAAAACAACCCCAATCTCATCTCCGTTCCATCACACACAACATGTTATAACATACAATACCGGTTTACAACCTAAATATTCAAGACGCATACTAGGTGGAATCATCAAGCATTAACAACACATGGAACCAACGATAACCACATCAACAAGAGTAACGCATGCCGGCCAAGTCTAGCAACCTATAGGTGAGACACAAACAACGTGTGTAACACACGATCAATACGTAACAAGAGCGAACAATAACAATAACTTAACATGCAAGCAACAGGATAATGAACGACTATAACTACTAAAAGAGAATGCGATCAAGAAGTAACGAAGAATAGCCATGCATCAATAACTCACTCACGTAACTGTAGTACAACACATCATTATAATTCAATAATCAAACTAATCGTGAACGAAGGAATAATCAACCAAAATAATATGCATGCATCAAGATTAAGCAATCACCACTATAACGATACTAACAACCTACGTGAAACACAAATACACCACACACGACCAAAAGGGAACCTACATGCAACAAGGTTTATCAATACCGTAATCAGGTAAGATCATAACGCAACAACTCAATATCAAACGGCCAATCATAATGAGTCTTAAAGCAAACGAGATATCACATAATAACAATAACTAACGATGACTTGCAAAACAAGCAACAGTCCATGCACATGAATTCTATATGCAACAATTTACTTTTAGCGTAGGAAATCTTCATGCAAACAATTTATGTTAAGTTTAAACTCAGCTAAATATATCTCAAGCAAGGAAGGCCTAAGAAGGAGGCATACGCCCATCCTCACCTTGGGTAAATTGGCCTGGCGGAATACGGCAATGGTGGTGGGTTAGCGAAGGAGTACTGAGTCGGCGGTGCGAACATCGTCGGTGGAGGAGGATAGTACATCGGACGTGGCGGAGGCTTAAGGCCAGCAACCAATGCCGCGAGAGTTTCATTATCCACCGGCGGAACACCAAGCAGTATGGCCATCGCGTGATTGATCGCTTGAGGAGTTGGTTCCTCAAAGCCGGAAGGAACCGCATGTGGAGGTGGAGACGTCTTCAGAGAAGCAGCTTCGTCTTCCCGTGGAGATGAGGGAGAAGAGATGGTGAAACAGAGTGAAGGGGAAGAACTCAAAGGGTGAGAGGAAATACAACACTTAGAGAGAGGAAGATGGTAATTGAGAGAAGAAGAAAGAGAGAGAGAGGGCTCTCGTAATGAGTGAAGGATAAGTGAAAGAAGAACAAGAGAAAGAGATGAGTCCAAATCTTTTAAGAGGATCTTTTGATCGTTAACAGCTGGGAATGTGCTTAGCATATGCCAACTTAATAATTATCTTTTCTTTAACGAAATGAAAAAGAATTATCATCAAGGAATCTCCTTAATGGGCCTTCTTGGATAAGATTAAGAGCCCAAACCCACTTAAGAATCGGGATGTCATAGGAACATCATGTAGGGAGGAGGAGGAGGAGCGTCCGACGAGTCGGAGATCATTGAGGCAGCTAAAGCAGCGAACACTAACGATTTTCATCACTAAATTATCCGACGGTTATGATACGGTTATGATTCAGTATGTAATATTTTGATTCAGTTTCCTTTCAATTGTAAAATAATTACTTAATTTGCTTAAATCAAAAGAAAATGTTTTCATAATATAAAGGAAAACAAAAGGCATGGATACTACTGTTGCATGATAATAATAACGAGAAAGTTGCAGGATATAATTATATGTATGATCATTATTTAATGATTTATACTAGTAGAGGACCCACACGTTTATGCGTGTAACATAGCTGTTTTGTGAAAAAAAATTGTAGTTCTTTTTTCACTAAAACTTTAACCTTGATTGCTATTAGGTGTTGTAAACCTAAATATATTACATCACGTTTTAATCACTAAAACTTTCACATAAAATTAGATTTCAGACTTTCACCGAAACCCCCTACCTGAATCATCTGTAAAAATTCATACAAAACCTAAATGAAATTTTAGAAAAATCGAATGATTTTTATACCTTTAAACTTTAACCTGAAACCCGGCAAAACTATAAAAAAAAACTTTTAAAAACCCAAAAAAAAAACTGAAAAAGGTGAACCGAAGCCGGATCGAAACTTTTAGAAAACCAAATGGGCATATACCTTTTTTAATTTATAAAAAAACTAATACATTTGGTCCTTTTTCAGGACATGTGGACGTGGTGAAAAGAAATTAAGACATTTAGACTTTTCCCTGTTCGGTTTTATTTTATAAACTTTGCAGATTTCCAATTAAAATCCATTTCATTCTCTAGTTTCCTATGACCATTCGCAATACTTCATGTTCATGTTCGGTCAGGATGGAGTAATTTCCTTAAATCTCCATTGTTAGGCCTTTGGAGCTTTCTTAATCGAAGTGTTATGTTGCTTGTCGATTCAAGGAGTAATTTCCTTATATCTTCAACGAAGATGACGAATACGAAGACCGTCTTTTCCGGTTCCTAATCCAATTGCCCGCTTTGCAAAGCCTCGGTTCAACACCACAACCCCATTGACCCGACGCAAATCAACTGATAAACATGTGGCTCCTAAGTCTATTTATTTCTTAAAACGTCATTCGAACTACGACTTTGCACTTCGCGCAACCCAAGTTCACATCGGTGTTCTGGCCCAACACCCGATCAAAACGTGTTCCACGAATGCAGTGGTGAAATAACCCACGACTTCGGAGTCAGGGCCAACCAAGCCTTGCCTGTTCGTCCAAAACGCCGAGCCCAGTCTCGCATCTTTTACAGGGTCAGCCGAACCGAGCATTCGCACCTAGGCTACTAAGCCAGGCTCCGGCCTGCTAATAATCTAAGGTACTGATTGTTAAGAACTTTTGACTGTTAAAACTGTGACATTTAAATAAGGGTTGTGACTTTAAAAAAAAGAGTTAAAGCCACAATTTTTGGCTTTTGCAAAATACCCATCGAACATGAAGAAAAAAAAAAGAAATGGGCTGTGAGAAATTTTAGGGGGGAAGTTAATGACTTTTAAGACTGTAAAATCACAAAAGTGTGATCGGTTAAAATTAGAGTTTAAAGACTTTAAAAAATTCCAAAAGCCTCTAAAGTCTTCAAGGTCAATTTGCCAATTAGAGCCTAAGTCTAAAAACGACCAAGTAATCCGAGCACACCTCGTAAACAGACTTAGAATAAAACCTTGCAAGAACACCATATATTAAAATAGACGAGGTTCGGTACATAAAACATCAACAGACTTCGTAGTACGGAATAAGTCAAAAGAAATAAAAACAACACAAGCAAAACGACGGGACATCCGAGCACCGCCTAATTCGGAACGCTACTGATATGATTATGGCCAGCGCCAGGTCAAGGAGCATGGACCTAAGCTTGAACCTGATGGAGTTAAGGACTTAAAGCTTGAACCAGTGGAGCAGCTTGAACGTGAGGGAAGTAAGCTTGTAGCTGAGGATGAGCTTGAACCGGAGCTTGTAGCGAGGAAGCTTTAGCTGCATCAATGGAACTGGTTACTCATTCTGGAGTTAATCTTGAGCCAAGTGGAGAAGACATGATCCTAAACCTCCCTGGTTTTTGATCCAAGCTCAAGAGATCAGCAAATGGGCATGTGTCTCATTTGTACTCTTTTTCCCTTGTCAAGTTTTGTCCCAATGGGTTTTCTTGACAAGGTTTTTAATGAGGCAAATGGGTCACATACAAATAACCCATTTAGCTGATCAAGACCAAGGCCCATCAATAAGATTGAAAACGTGGCCATGAAGTCCAAGGGTCTATTTTAGTGTTCAAACTTTCTTTTAATTGTTTGTGTGTTTCCAAGATGGTCATTGGAGCTTGTTCCTTGACTCATCTCTTCTTCTTCTCTTCTCTTCTCTCCTTTATATGTTCTGGACGAATCTCCTTTTCAGTTTATGCAACCTTGAATGAAAAACCTTTTTCCTTTGTTTACTCAAAGATCTCTTAGTGTGATTCTAAGAACCTTTCTCTTGTGTGTTAATCCGAGAAATCCCTTTAGATTGTTGTGAGTTGTATCAACTATTTTAGAGGTGGTGTTGGAGATCCTTTCCATTGGATCTCTGGTATAGCCATTCAATCCATCCCCATCTATCACTTCCATCGATCCATTCATCCTTTCACCATCTCAATCCATTTCGCCAAGTCCTTTGATTCCATCACTCCATCGCTACAATTCAACCTTACTTGCTTCAAAGTGTCGATCTCTACAGGGTCTATCAAGTGGTATCAGAGCCACTTTGAAGCTAAGTGTTCATCTTTTGTTTGTCAAATCTCTATTTATGCATCTTTGTCATGAGTGTCTGTTCATCTTCCCATTCTGAAAATCGTAGATCTATTCATCACCATTGTTCCTTTGATCATTTCACTTGTTACCATCAGCATATCGGCCACCCTGTTGCATGTTTCCACCCTTGATTCATCATTTTAAGCATTTTGAATCTGCTGTTCATCTTCTGTTCTTGATCATCATAGATCTAGTTGCTGGAATTATTTTCGTAATTTTTTTGAGCATTCTGGCATCATATCCTGGTTCATTAGCACCTTATCTGTATTTTAGAATTTATTTCATAATTTTTAAAATTGTTTACATAATTTTTCGGAATTGTTTGCTTGTTTCTGTGAACTAGTGACTGCCGAGATTTTTGTTTGCAATTTTCAGGTGCTATGGCCTCAGAAGAAGAAGAAGAGGAAACAAGCCGAGAATCACCATCAAGCCTCAACGAAGCCATGCTTGAACAGATCAAGAAGATGATGATTGAGGAGTTTGATCGGAGAGAAAAGATTAAAGAAGGAAAGCGGAAGCAACCTAAGGATCCGGTCACATCTAAGAAGAAGCCGATTGAGGATCTTAGTGGTTACATGATGATTCCGCCATTCCATGGGAACAATGATCCGGATGTATATCTGGATTGGGAGAGGAAGTGCGAGATTACCTTCAACCGACATAACATAGCTGACATCAACCGAGTCAAATTAGCAGCTATGGAGTTCAAGTATTATGCTCTAAGTTGGTGGAAACAGGTTGAGACGGCACGAGCTTATAGTGGAGCTTATGAGATCTCTACTTGGGGAGAAATGAAAAGGGTTATGAGGCAGCGGTTCGTTCCCAATCATTATCAGCGTGAACCTCATTCCAAGCTAAGGAAGCACATCAGGGAAATCATTCAGTTGAGGAGTACTATAGTAGCCATGGGAAACGAAACCCAAGCAGCCTGACAAGATCACAAAGCCTTATCCAAGACATATCTCTAAAGAAACAAGTCCTGAACCACAAGAAAGCATTCAAAAGCAAAGGTAAGCATTCTGTTTCTCAACAATTACAAGAATTAACTTTTGCAGGACCAAGAACAGAGACCATGTTTCTAAGGAGCTCCCAAGCAAGGTGATCCCTTCCTCTATTAGTCCAAAACCTCTGGCAGCAGAAAGTGTCAAAGAAGTGCCAAAGGATCACGGAGAGAAAAGTTTAGGTGCCAAAGATGTTTCTCCAAACCCCCTGTTACGAACTGCAAGGCAACAAGAAACAAGAAATTGTTTCAGTCTCTAACAATGGAAAGGTACAAGCTAAACTTTCTCAAACTGTTTATGATGATTCCATGACTGGTATAATGCACTTGTCTTTGCCCATACCGTGACGAACGGGAGGAATCGCCTCAGCAAGATGCGGAGTCCGGGATTTCTTGCTCGGCGGCAAGTCCAGCCTCTCCCCTTTTCTCTTAGTCTCCAGAGTTTGAGGATTCGGAATACGGATCAGAGGGGTCGAACTAACCATGGCTCCACCTATCGACGCCCCAGGTCGTTTTCCCTTTACCGCTTTGCGAGAAGGCGGGACCACCTCCCAGGTCTGAGCCGTTCCCCGCACTACGACCGAGGGAACCCTGATGGAAGAAGAACTAGAGGACGAAGACTCCGATCTGCCGGAGGTCTCCTCCGAGCTGGCCTCCACAGACCTTTCGGGTAGCGAACGAGAAGAAAAACTAGAATCGGCCCTGATCCCTCCGTTAGCCATTGCGTAAAAGAAGAAATCCTCGGCCGAACGATTGAATACGCAAGTCCGGAAGAAGACAGTAGCTCGGAAGACGAAGAAAAACAGTTCGGAAACAAGAAGAGAAAAGAAAGCAAGAGTTTGGAGCGATTACCTTTTTCTTTTCGAAGGAGGCGGACGAGAAAGAAGTGCTAATGAGAAGAGAATGAGGAATAACAGGATATTTATAGGAGATTTCCGAAGATGAAACGACACAATGATTGCGTCCGAAGCGCCGCGCAGTTTCCCGAGGAACCGCCAACAGAGAAGGCGACACGTGGTAGACAAGACGGGATGTCAGACGGAAAGAGAAAACTCGAACTCCACACGCCTGCGAGCTGAGGGTTCCGAATCTCGAGGAAACTTTTCAACTTCTCCCAACCACCCTGAGCGAAGATCTTCACGCGCTGGCCCGAGGTATTATTTGAGCCGAACCCAAACTCCGAATGCAATCCGCCGATGCCGATCAACGCTCAGTTCGACTCGACGGACTACGGGGGGGCAACTGTTAATGGTGGGTTTGCACCAAACCCTATCAAAGGCCCACCACAACTAATACCTAAGGCCCAACTCAATCTCAAAGGAAGCCAAAAGAAGGAGACTTAAATGAAGGGAGGAGATTGAGCCACATCATCATCAAATTATTGAAGATATCCTAAAGTTTAGACTATAAATAGAGCATGTAACATTAGTTGATGGGACATGAAACCCTTGGATTAGGAGTTAAATACTAGTTTACTGTACTCTCTAGTTCGACAGGTCAGTTTGTAGTTCGACTCACAGTTCGGAGTAGGGATAAGCAACCTTCCCGACCTCCTTCTCTTGTAAAGCTGTCGTTCGACTCTTTTTCCTACCTTAAATACGAAATATTCCGACCTTCTTCCTAACGAACTCCAATCATAAACAGGTCACCTAGTTCACCATTTACATCACTAGATCACATAGATCTGATAAATATTCCCGGAAATCTCATCTAATCTCTTCGTTCAGCGATCTTGGCGGCACTCTCAATTTCCCTTCCTCTAATCTCAGATTAAGCCCTTTCATTACCTACTTCGTCTCTGGTAACTCCTGAATCAAAATCTCAACAATCCATTGCGGTTTTATCCTTTTGGGAACAGCTCATCTACCAAATACACTGTAAAACTCAACAACAACCAGACATGGCTGCATCTTCGCTGAATAATCTGGTTAACAACAGCGGTTCTTCGATTAATTGTGGTGATGGATTTTCGGGTATAATCCGGATCGCCGTGGTACCAGATCCAAATCAAATTTTTTGAATCAATCCTCCACCGATTCAGTTGATGTTACCCAATTTCCGGCAATGCTGATTTCACAAAACCATTCGTTTTGGAATTTAAATGGGAGAAAATAGGCTATAGAGATCTCCTAATGCTCGCTCATACTCTTCATCTCAAGCTTTTAGCAAGCGACGAGATCAATTAAGGTACATATTATATAGTAGTACGTAGGTAGGGTTTATCATTCGACTTATTACTATTTCACAATTGGAAATTTTGCAAATATTATTAGATCATATCTCTTGAGTATCAAGGTTTTCATATTATGGAATTGTCGATAGATTTTTCTATTTGTAAATCTTTAGTTAACCAGAATTCAATTTTTGGTTTAACAGAACCAAACTGTTAGACAAAAAATCAGGGAATATGGTTTGATTTAAGTGATCAAGGATCCGCGTGTAATTCCAAATCAATTCGGGTGGGCTATTCACGTTTTAAGGCTATTCGGGTGGGCTATTCGCGAGTTACCGAGTCAACTCAGCCGAGTTGGTTTTTTTGAATTTTTTCAGTCAATCACATGCGCACATACTCCCCCATTGGGACATAGTCAGGTGGAGTATGAGCATGACCATGAGCACGGTAACTTAATCATCACTCTAGAATATACTTTTCTTGAGATTACTTCTTGTTTCACATTTGATTGATCATTCTTCCATTTGTGTGTGTTTGTCTCTTTGCAGATGAGTCTGTTTCTGCTGCAGTCGTTGCAGCTGATCTGATCAGCTCTACACGCCTTGCACTCAAGCTTGACAGTGTGCACACTGAGTACTCTGCTCAGTATTTCCTGGACAAAGTCGCTGTCGCTGGTCAAAGCCTCACTGTCAAAGAGTGCCTCGAGTTTGCCTTCAAGAATGGGATACCGAAAGCAGAAGATTGGCCACTCTTGGGATCTGGTGTCAAACCCTCGCCATCTCACAAACCTGCTCTGGTTTCCATGAGAGGAAAAGTGGATGAGGCTGATAACTTTGAGCAAGTACGTGAGGTGTTGAAGGATCAACCGGTTGGAGCAAGAATGCATGTGTACACTCCACACATTGATCTTCAACAAGACGTAAGTGTTGGTTTGGTTGCTCTGTTTAGTTAGATTCAAAATGAGAATGGTTTTTGACTTGGAGAGGATTTTTGTTCATTTGTAGGCAATTTACTGTGGGCCGTCAGGTGAGGAAGCCAAGTTTGTTGGACTTAGAGATGGGATTGTGCTGAAAGTGGAGAAGATCTCTGGAAAGTCGATTGCAACAGTGAAGGTGTGGTACAAGAAGGAGTTTGTGGTTGTCAAGGTGGCTGTGAGCAGGATGTTTTACTTCTCCCATCTGGGCATTGGGCCAGCAGGTCTGCTTGTTGACTTTTGTATCCCACGCCTATCCATGGATTAAGGAAGAGAGCAAAAGAGGTTTTATCTTGAATAACTATCTAGAGAACAATATGCTGCTTGGTGGAATTTCTTTTGTTTGTTGTTCTAAGTTTAGACTTAAGAATGTTTCATGAGACTTTTTTATGTAATAAGTTAACAAGTGTTGATCTCTACTTTCTCAAGACAATGTGGTGTGTTTTAGTTTTGTTGAAATCAGTCTTGGCGAAGACGACAAGACGTGTTATTCGAATCCATAGTTTATTAGCTGCTAAGTTGGACCCAATCCAAGATAAAGATTCGAAAAAGTCATAGCCACTTTTCGTGGTGGGTTTGTGTAAAATACAAACCATCTTTGAACCCTCCAAGCGTGCTTTTCCAAGATTGATCAGTCGTAAATATTGAGGTTGCAGATGAAATGGTGACTTTTCTTGCAGGGGAAGGAACACTGTAGCTGAAAGGCAGAGATTTTGTGCTGAGTTTCTGTTTCTCTTGCCGTGCTTTCTAAGTAAGAATCTCCACTCTGTTTCTATTTACATTTAATCCCATTGTTTTGTTTTTCTAGTTAAGAGTTTCTTGATTGAAAAAATGTTTTCTTTTCAGCAACTACCACTTAAAATCCGGTTCCTTTTCCCAAAAGTCCAAAACTTACAAGTAATGGCGAATTGTGTTTTCCTTCTTCCATGGTTTTTCCCAAGCTCTAAATTTCCTCTTTTGGTCATGGTGTGTACTTTGTTTTTTTTTTTTTTTTTTGATTGACTCTATCGGCTTCCGGTTAGCCCCACTAGGAACCAAGGTGCTACAAAGTGAACTCATCCTTCGGACTATCACACTGTCTATCCCGAGTTTGGAGTGTATTCCGACTAATGCCAGTGGGTAATCAGGCCGCATGCATTTCTGATTACCAGGTAAACCAATTGGGCCTAGGTCCAACTGACAGACTTCCCACACAAATGTGATTTTTATTTCCAGGGAGAATCGAACCCGAGTCTGGGAGTTTTACCCTTTACCAAGACTTCCCCTTACCACTGGACCACAAGAATGCGGGCTACTTTTTTTTTTTTTCTTTTTTTTTTGGTTCAATCGTTGTTTTCTTAAACGTGCGAGAACACTTTTATCTCTCTTTATGTATTTGTTTCTTGAGGATATTGTTTTACCACTAACAAAAAGAACGACCACTTGCATTAATCATGAGGATGACTTCTTCTAGAATGTACATGGTTATTAATTAAACTCGAATTTCATATCTCTAGTTTGTCTAAGTTAAGGAGATTTGTTTGCTATAAAACAAAAGAATACTAAAATTTGTGATGACTTACAAATAATTCACTTACAAAGTCTACGTTTTTAAAAAGTTAAAGTTATTCAAAGACGATATCAACCGAAAGAAGAAAACACATTAAACGTTGAGACTAACCATTGTTAAGATCTATGTTGGAGCAGAACAAACAATCATCGTGCGTTTCACAAACCATTGCCAGTTTTCTTATAATCCGACGTGTTATACGTACTTCTTCTCTTTGATAACGGGGTTATGAAGTTATCGGGTTTGGCTGCTCCATAGAAGTTGAAGTCTCCATGATCTCAGGTTTTGGAAACAAAAAACGGAGTTCTACCAAACCAAACATCCGATCACAACACGACGACCTTCAAATGCTAGAAATATTATATTTGATAACCAAAACAAAAAAACTATTGATTCAAATAATAAACTGTTAATGATGAAAGTCCCACATTCGGGGCCTTTCCGTGGATGTTGTTCCCACAATTGCCCACGCTTCAGATGATGACCTCTGAGTGTGAGGGGAGTGTTAATGATGAAAGTCGCACATCGATAGTAGGAGAAATAATTAAGTAATATATAAAGGGTTAGGGCTTCTCCACCTATTGCCAATTGGTTTTAGGTTGGATGCCCATGTTTAACCCAAATTTGACATGGTATCAGAGCAGTCGATTCTGGGCCACCCCGTGGATGTTGTTCCCACAATTGCCCACGCTTCAGATGATGACCTCTAAGCGTGAGGTGGGGTGTTAATGATGAAAGTCCCACATTCTGGGCCACTCCGTGGATGTTGTTCCCACAATTGTCACGCTTCAGATGATGACCTCTGAGCGTGAGGGGGAGTGTTAATGATGAAAGTCTCACATCGATAGTAGGAGAAATAATTAAGTAATATATAAAGGGTTAGAGCCTCTCCACCTATTGCCAATTGGTTTTAGGTTGGATGCCCATGTTTAACCCAAATTTGACATGGTATCAGAGCAGTCGATTCTGGGCCACCCCGTGGATGTTGTTCCCACAATTGCCCACGCTTCAGATGATGACCTCTAAGCGTGAGGTGGGGTGTTAATGATGAAAGTCCCACATTCTGGGCCACTCCGTGGATGTTGTTCCCACAATTGCCCACGCTTCAGATGATGACCTCTGAGCGTGAGGGGGAGTGTTAATGATGAAAGTCCCACATCGATAATAGGAGAAATAATTAAGTAATATATAAAGGATTAGGGCCTCTCCACCTATTGCCAATTGGTTTTAGGTTGGATGCCCATGTTTAACCCAAATGCTAGAAATATTATATTTGATAACCAAAACAAAAAAACTATTGATTCAAATAATAAACACGAATAACTATAAAGAGGCAAAAAAAAAAACATTTACTCAAGAACAAACCTAAACCCAGAGAAAAATACATTGTATTGTTACGATATAATGTTACCAATTAAACTTTAAGAATTTGTTTTTATTTTACATAGCAAAATCACTTTCATTTTTGTTAAGGAAGTGAAGCTCACATCTTTTGTTTCATTTTTCTCTTAACTTTTTTTTATTTATGTTGTGGAACCTTATTGACCAATATTCATTTCTTTATATTTCGGTTTAGATCTACATAACGTTTCAATTGCAAAATAAAAATTGCTTGAATTTAATCAAAATTATATATTTTTAAAGTAAAGTTTATCAATCTTGTGAATGTCTTGATATTATTCAAAACATATGAAAAAGATTAATATTATTTTTAAGCATATCCTTATACATTTAGTTGATTATATTTTATTTGATATTATTATAATGGATTACGAATGAATGACCTGGCACCAGTTTTGAACATAACCTTGCTTTGTACAAAATTTCTCGCAACTTTTTTCCTCACATGGTCCTTTGGGAAATGTAACATTCTAGATCCCCATTGCTTTATTTCATATCCTATTTATTAATAATTTTTTTATTAAACCAATATGTATATTAATTGAAAAGACAAATTCATGTGTATAATTTTTAAATAGTAGTATAAAAATAAACCAATACTTGGAGTATTAAGGGTTGTTGAATGACAATAAGCAAAAGATATGATGAAAATAATCATGAAAACAAATCTAATTAAATTTTTCATGCTAGAAATCATTTTTATTATATTTTTCTTTTAACTTTTTTGATGATTTTTATCTATTTATATTGGTTTTATATATATAGTAACACAAACATACATAAAAGCTATTTTTCATGGTCAAATCTAATAAATAATTTAGCAAAAAAAAGGTTGACAAGTAACATAATTTTCAATTTATTTACTTATAGATATATAGTCAACATACACATTATCCTGATAAAAAAGTAACACACAAATAGAATAATTTTCGTATCTAATTACCTTAAATTTTGGATCGGTTATATATCTATATATATAATAACACAGTTACACAAACTTATGTCAAATGTTATCTGTCCTTTTCAATTTTATTGGTCCCCCAATTTTTGAATAATATTCATCACTTAAAAAGTCACTTTAGATTCGTTCTATTTTTTCTATCGAAGAAAAATTATCAATAAAACCTTAAGTTCAGGAATAGAACTACATATCATATCTACTATAAATTTCTGAGAATCATAGAAATCGAGAAACTTCTCGCAAAAAACTGAACAAATTGATCGGAGAAATCAGAAAATTGTGATCGGAGAAATCAGAAACTGAAAAGCGCCGATACATTCTAAAAAGGCTATTAACCTAAATTTAAGATTGGGCTTTTAATTTTAAGTCTGTTACTGGGTCAAAATAATTATTATTGACCCTAAAACTTAAAGTCAGTTTTCAAACTGATGCTAAAATACTTCTAATTTTAAAAACTTCACGTCATTTTCCAAAATGACTTCAATAAACTGACGTTACATGCTTGATTTTTTGTAGTGCGATGGGATTAATTAACTTAAATATATTTCAAGAGTTATTTATTTGGTTTCAGAAAAAATGATACTATTATTTTTGATGTGGTTTTTATATCAAATTTTAGTTTATTTTTTACTCAAAAAAAATCATTTTAAATCAATCTTAATATAAAATTGGGAAATTGCAAGAAATATACAATGTGAAATTAATTGACAGCATCTGACAACATATCCCTACACGCCAGTGGTTTTGATTATTGCGTGTAGCAAGGAAATGGATGTGGGTCCATAGTAAATGATGTGTTATCTTAAATCATTTTAATTTCTTTCGTCTCTCCAATCTCTCTCTATCTCCAGACACGAAAACAACTGCAAGAAAACAACTGTAATTCCAACGTCGTCTCATCCATCGCCAGAAGTGGATCTCGACTATATATCATGGGCCAAAATCTGGTCTCACCACGCGCCGCCCATGGAAACTGATGTTCGGTTACAATTCCTGGTTAGAATCATCACTAATTTTTGGGTTGAGTGTCTTGTTAACATTAAGTTTTCTGGATTGAATTGTGAGTATTCACTTTTATCAAATTCTGTTATTTCTTTATAATTTTGTTAGAAGCATCACTAATTTTTGTGTTTCTATATAAAACCTAGATTTTATCAGCCAAAGTTAATCGATGAAAAATCTTCAATACAGTTTTTTTAATGCGAATTCAGATTGTAACGGAGCTCCGGAAATATTTTGTATTAGAAGAAGAAAGGGAATTGCTGCGTAGAAGAAGTGTTGTGGATAGATTGATCATTTTGTTATCACGCTAATGATTTTGTTATAACGTCAATTTGTTTGTTATCATACTAATCAGTTTTTTTTTTTTTTTTAACATCTGAAGCTTTATTAAATAGTGAAGGGAGCATACAAATATTTAACCAACCATTGAGGTGGGCTTGCATACAACATAAAGAAATCAACAGAATCATAAATACATTTTGAAAGTAAATCTGCTGCCTGATTTTTCTCCCTGTTCACTTGTGCTAAAGAACATAATGGCAGAAGTGAAATCCAATGACGAATATCAATGAGGATATTGCCCAACTCTGTATTCTCTTCCCATTTATTGATCACATTAGTGAGCTGAAGGCTATCTCCTTCAAACCAGACATTCCTCATACCTTTACTCCATATGCGTTGAACCACATAGAGAAAGCCATTTGCTTCAGCCTGCAGTGGTGTGTCTACCTGAGGTAATTTTGCCCAACCTGATTCTATATACTGTCCTTTGTCATCTCTTATTATCCACCCTACACCCATGCAAGACGCAGACGATCTATATGTGCTATCAAAGTTACATTTTAACCAACCTGATGATGGTGGTTCCCAACAGCTTGTTGGTGTCACACATATTCTTCTTTCTTGAATCGTAGTGGACGGATTAGCAATAAACCATTCCGCTACAGCTTGAACTCCTTTCTCCACATCGTTCTGAGGATGAACATTTCTATGTGCAAATAGAAAGTCATTTCTCGATTTCCAGATCATCCAACTCATCCACATGGGAAGGAATCTTTTCTCCTCCGTCAAAGATTGCATTTCCAGGATTTGAAATAACATTCGAATGTTGTCTTCCAAAGATATGTCTGACCTATCAAACTGGGTGAATCCTGCACATCTCCAAATAGAATTTGCATGTTGACAATTAAACAAAACATGATTAATCGTTTCTTCATAGAGACAACAGCGTTGACACATCGGATCTATATTCAGGATGCGGGAACATAACCTTTCAGCTGTTGGAATTGCCCCTGCTATAGTTTTCCATAAGAAATGTTGTATCTTTGGTGGAATTTGAAGTTTCCATATTTTTTTCTTCACTTCAATTGGACCTGGGGGTGGTTCTATTCTTTCTCCATCCTCCACAACATGAGTCGCCACCCAATAGCCTGATTTTACTGTATACACTGTGTTAGTAGTGTATGGCCAAACAAACACATCTTCATTAGCAAATCTTGACAATCTGATCGATTTGACTATTTCTACATCTTCTGGAGCTAAAAGCTGCACTAATTTAGCTTCATCCCATTCCCTAATCCCTGGCTTCCAAAGCTCCTCCACATGCATATTCAAATCTCTAATGTTTCCAACTCCTACATTTCCTTGAACGACTCTTGGAGGTACAACAGGTAGCCAATGATCTGACCAGACCTTAGTAACCTTACCATCTCCTAGTCTGACTTGTAAACCCTTTTTGAGCAGGTCTTTCCCTGCTTGAATTGATCTCCATCCATAAGATGGGCCACCTCCACACACCGACTCTAAGAACGTCGATGATTTGTGGTATCTCCCTTTATAAATCCGTGACAATAGTGATTGTGGATTCTGCAGTATTCTCCATGCTTGCTTCCCAAGTAATGCCATATTAAATCTATGAAGATCCCTGAATCCCATTCCTCCTTCATCCTTCGGTAATGACAATCTCTCCCAAGAGATCCATGAAATCTTACGATGTCCATTGTCATTCGTTCCCCACCAAAACTCTGATAGAATGCTGTTGATCTCTTGGCAAATTTGTTTCGGAATAAGAAAACAACTCATAGCATACACCGGTTTAGCTTGTGCAACTGATTTGATAAGCACTTCCTTACCCGCTTGACTCAAAAACTGATTGTACCAAGAACCTACATTCTCCTTTACTCTCTCTACTAATCCCTGGAAAATCTCCGTTTTCTTTCTCCCAAATTGTTCCGGAAGACCCAAATATTTTCCTCCACCACCCACTCTTGAAATTCCTAGGAGGCCTTGTATAATCTGTTTCCGATGACTTGTAATACGATTACCAAAAATGATTGACGATTTTTGAAGATTGACCTTCTGACCTGATATAGCTTCGTAGTCGTGTAGAATTCTCGCCATTCGTTGACAATCTTCATAAGTTGATCTGCAGAAGAAAAGAGAATCATCTGCAAACAGTAGATGAGATACGGAAGGGCATGCTTTGGTTAACCTCATTCCATGAAACTCTTTCCTTGCTTCCGCTTGATAAATCATCTGAGATAAAGTTTATGCACACAATAAAAAGAGATATGGAGAAAGAGGATCACCTTGTCTTATTCCCCTTTGTGGTTGAATTTTCCCGTAATCTAAACCATTGATAATGATGGAGAATGAAACTGATCGGACACAACTCATTACCCAACCTATCCATTTGTTATCAAAACCCATCTTTTTCATTACTTCTTCAAGAAAACCCCATTCCACACGATCATAAGCTTTGCTGATATCTGTTTTGATGGCTAGATATTGTTGAGCACAATCTTTTTTGGACTTTAAAGCATGCATCAGTTCATGAGCTATCAAAACATTATCAGTTATGTTCCTCCCTGGAACAAACGCTGCCTGAGAATCAGATATAATATTTCCTAAGATTCCTTTCAAACGCATTACTAGAATCTTTGAAATAATCTTATAGCTGACCGTACATAAGCTGATAGGTCTGAAATCCGCTAATCTGTCTGCACCATGTGTTTTTGGTAGTAAACAAAGCTGTGTATGGTTAACTCCTTCCTCCATTACACCTGTATCAAAAAATTTCTGGATTAGTCGGATTACATCAGAACCTATTTCCTCCCAAAATTGTCGATAAAAAGAGGCTGTGTAACCATCAAAACCGGGTGCCTTATCTGGACCAATAGAAAAACTGCATCCCGAATCTCCAATGCTGAAATTGGTCTTGTTAACAACATTTTAATCTCTGCCGTCACTCTTGTATCCATAGTTGGTATGATATCATTCACAGGTCTTGTATTTGAAGCCGTAAACATTTGGCTAAAATACTCCTCTGCCACCCTTGCTATTGCTTCATCATTTGTGTGAGCAATTCCTTGATCATCAACTATCTTCTTAATACAAGTCCTCGGTTTTCTTGTTTTAGTGACTCCATGGAAAAAAGCATTGTTCCTGTCTCCCACTTGTAATCATTTATTTCTGCTTTTAACATGCCAAAACACTTCTTCATTATGATAAGCCTTATTCAGATTAGCTCTCAAACTTCGTATCTCCCAAGCCGCTACTGTTGGATCTCTCAAAGCTCTGTCTAATTGAGTACGAATAGTCTGAATATCTTCAGCTGAATTAAAACGATGCCTCCTTTTCCATTTAGCCATCTCTGTACGACATACTTTTAGCTTAACTGAGAAATCCTGAATATGAGAACTCTTATGCTTCCAAAAATGCCTTACCGTTTCAACAAAATCTTCTTCTTGACATAGTCTTTTATCATATTGGAATTGGCCTCTTTTGATTCTCTCTTCATATTCAATGATGACTAACAATGGCCTATGATCAGACTCTGCTATATCTAAAAACTTTGTTTCAGAAGCTGGATAAAGTCGTCTCCATTCTGAGTTAGCTAGAACACGATCTAAACAGCACTCAACAATACCACTTCTTGTATTACCCACCCAATTGAAAGGATTACCTTTGGATCTGATATCCTGCATATCACAAGTCTCCATCATCAAACGAAAATTTCTGAAGCTACTCTCAGACCTAATACGTCCTCCTTTTTTCTCTGCATTACTCAAAATCTCATTAAAATCTCCACACATCATCCATGGACCAAGTCTATGCACTGCAATTCGTTGTAGTTTCTCCCATAAATGATTTCGTTGACTCGGTATTGGGTGACCATAGACACACGACAAGTAGAATTGAAAAGCTTTGTATTCAACATGGATGTCTATAAGACGGGAATCAAACGAAATACAAGAAACTGAAACGAAATTCTTCCAAAACACAACTAAACCACCACTTAAACCCTGCGGAGAAACTATTTTCATCTGATCATACCCTAACTGAACTCCAACATCCCTTACGTAGTCATCACTTTGCTTGGTTTCCATCAGGAACAGCAT